TAAAGTCTTATACTAACGAGTTTTTAAATTATTATATTAAAGTATTACGTTTGGAAATAGTATACTAAGGAGTTATTTTGTGTGTTACATTAAAGTGTTACACTAAGAAATTTTTGTGTGTTATATTAGAGTATTATGCTAAGGAATTTTTTAGAGTATTATATTAGAGTGTTACTTTTGAAAAAAAAAAAATACATTAAGAAATTTTTGTGTGTTATATTAGAGTGTTATACTAAATTTTTTTTTTGTGTGTTACATTAAAGTGTTGCACTATGAATTTTTTTTGTGTTACATTAGAATGTTACACTAAAGAGTTATTTTGAAGTGTTATATTAGAGTGTTACGTTTGAAAAAAGTATAGTAATGAGTTTTTTGTATTGGCATCCATTTCAATTCAATTCAAAATAAAAAAAAAAAAAAAAGAAGGTCAAATTGCAAGAAAAGTGGTTGACTGCCACTTCTTTTTTCCCTAGGTTGCTCTGCTGCATGCAAGGCATGCTTGTTTTTCCAATTTCACACTCAACATCCCTGGAGAAGCAAGCATGGCAATTCCAAGCAAATAAAAATTTTTTACTAAAGAAAGAAAAGAATAAAATAAAACAAAAAGTTGTTTCCATATTTCCTACACAAGGAACCTCACCATCAGCCATAATACATGCACACAGCCGTGAAAGAAAAGAAAGAGTGGAGAGAAAGCAAGAGGGAAATGAGAGAAGAGAGGAGAAGAAAGGCTCAACACTTGAGATTTTTTTTTTTACTTCGTTGAGGTAAAAATACTCAACTCCTATCCTCCCTTAGATGTTTTTCTCATCTAAATCTATACATTAAAATATGCAAGAGTGTGTATTGATAATACATCAATGCTCAATGCATGTTACATTTGGATAGAATGATAATCTTATGATTATGTGATTTTTGTCCTTCTTATAAGTATGGATTAGGTGGTTTAGCTAATGATTTTGCTCTTTATGTGATCAAGTATTCTCCATTGTTGAATCAATCTTGCATGCTTATAAATTTGTATTTACTCTTCATAAATATTATTTATGTTATCACTAATGAAAGTAAATACGAAGGATTAGAGTTTCACATGGGAATAATTGTAAGAAACATTTTTTTAGTCTTGCATGTGATTCATGGTGGATACAAAGTGTGTTTTTCGCAAAACTATTGAACTTCCAGCAAAAATAGATTTTTAGTCTATTTTGAATAAACCCTAAACAAACTCATGAGAACACTTTCATGAAATCTGACACTACTAAAGTTAGTTTAACATGTTTTCATGGTGTTAGAATGTTGAAGAAAATTATTTGACAATGTTTCATGGCCTGAATATATTTTTAACTTCATTGCTGTTTGGAGGCAACAATAATGCTGACTTTACCAGGTCGCTATCTATTCCACAGGATAAACTTTCAAGTGATTCAAATTGGCAAAGTTATATTTTTAAGTTATCTTTCAAACGCCGCTGGTTTCATAATTTTTCATTAAGTATTGAGAGAGAAACGCCAATTTTCCCAAAATGTGACAGAATTTGTCCAATTTTCTTATAAAAATTATTTGACCATCTTCGACTAACTTTCAGTCTGCACACTATTCTGGAAATATGTTCTAAACTCAAAAATTTAGCAAACCATTCTAACCATGCCTCTTTTCGACACCGTTTGAGGCCCCTTTTTATTTTTCGAACACAGAATACCTGTGTTGGAGGTTAATGTAACTCACTGTTCTAGAAAACCAGTTTTCTTCCAATTTTTTTTTCTCCATTTTAAAATCTTTTTTAGCCCTAATATTCTTCTCAAAATATTTTCCTAACTCGATGAACTAGCACCAGTTAAAATATTATAATGGTTGAACTTCGTTTGATATGAGTTTCATATATATATATATATATATAGACCATACAGTGCTGATAGAAGAAGTATATTAATTCTTAAGAAATCTTGTGATGATTCCTAAGACATTCTATCACATTTATTTTGGTTGTCATATATGATTGTGTTGTGCTATATAAACCTTATATCACTGTGGTTATCGAGCTAAAACTCGCACATGCAAAAAGAAAAAGAAAAAGTGGATTCAACAAAGTAAAGAAACATGAAATTAAACCGATGATACATTAAAAAATTAATAGTGATGGGGTGAGTCCGGTTTAGAATTTTGCGCCAGTGAGTTGCGAACCCTAACATGGCACGGGAAGGTATTTCGGCTCTAATCGGTGTAGGTGATATAAGGTTGGTGGTGCTGGTGTCATAACATAGACCGTTCCCTTGGGGTAGACCGTGATGTCACGACTCGGGTACGTAACCCTGGTACGTGGCCATCATTGGTAGTTACAACAAGTAACATTTGAATATTTGACCAAGGGAGAGTCAGAATTGCCCGTGACCATTGCTTAGCGGTTGATTGGAAATAGTGCTCCGCGGGGAGTTACTTAAATTTATCTGATAAACTAAATCCATGAGAATTTAAAAAGAAAAGTGTGCATTTTCCTTATGATGAATTACTATTTCCGTTTGCCATTTTATTTATTTATTTACTTATTTATCTATTGTTATTATTTTAACTGTTGGCATTCTTGTTATGCTTATTAAATGCTACCTGTTATTTTGTTACTACTCATTATTTATTAATTGTGAGTATTATTATCGGGGTGGGTATTTTCGGGTTGTAGTATATTATTGAGCTCGTCGCTCATTGGCATTCTCGTTGCCCTAACGTTTTATGCCAAGTACCGAAGAAAATGAAGGAAACACCAAGGCCTTGCAAGGCAACATTCAGCCTTGGTTAGCTTGAAGAGTCCCCAAGTTCCACAAAAATTTCCTAGTTTTTCTCTAGTTTTCTTTTATATTTGTGTTATTTTATTTTTTTGGTACTGAGACTAAGTTTTAAGTTTTTTTTTAGAATTGTAATTTGAAAACTTTCAAATTTCTGGGTTGTTAATTAATGGATGTTGGTAATATTGGTGGCAACATTGATTTTAAGTTCTAAATTTTATTATGATGTCTTTAAAATTTAGGGCGTCACATGTTTTATTGGAGTGTTACGTTTGGGTATTACATTGAAGTATTACAGTTTGAAATTATACATTTAGCCAAAACTTACTAAGTCGTTTTTGTATTCATTTTGAAATGTTTACAAAATTCTACATCCTTTTGGAATGTTTGAAGAATCTCATATTTTAAGTCATTTTTGAATTCCTTTCGAAATATTTTTCAAATAAAAAATATTTTCATATAAAAATTCATCAAATTTGATTTACATACATTGTGTACCTTACCTTTCTAGCACAAAAGAAAAAAGAGAATGAACATAATAGAAATAAGAGTATAATTGTAAGCCCAATTTTTAAATAATATATAAATCTACATTTCCAAAAAAAATCAATGAAACTTATTAATTTATAAGAAAATTCTGAGGACTAAATGGATCACAATTTCTTAAAATGAGGTTTATAAATAAATTTTCTTAAAAAAATCTATAAAAAAAATCAACTAAAGAGATAGGACAATGACAATGTTTAAGTTATAAGCCGTAATGAAAAGTATTTTAACTGGATATGAAACAACCTTGCTTCATACACCAGAGACACACCAGAAAAAAAAAAAGCAAAAAATCTACAACTTTTTATGATTTTTTTGTCTTCTAACGAACTTTTTTATTTTAAATTTATTAAATTTTTATTTTTTACTTTCTAGTACATCTATTTGAGTAGATTCTACGAGTCTAAAACTTGGTAAAAAAAAAATTAAAAAAAAAAATCTCTAAAGGCAAAAAATCAACGGAAAAAAAAAAAAGCTACTTAAAAAAAAACGATTTTGAAGTTGCAATCATGCACATGTTTCACTCAATGTTGTGAATTCCGTACCGGACAACATACCAATTTTGTTGTTGGTATGGTAGGTACCAATACAATACCGGTGTATTTTGGATTTTTGGATTGTATTTTTATATATATTAATAATATAAATATTTATGAGAAAATAGAAATAATTATATTTATGTTTGAATTGTTGCCATATATATAATTAAGGTTATCATACACACTTGAAATTTACCCATTTTAGTGGACCTTCACTTTTCCAGAAGTTTCACTTTGGTCTCATTCGATCTACTCCTTTCTCTCCATCTCTGTAAATGAGAAAGCTTTCAGAGCTTTAATCACAAATTTCTCTGCAACAATAATTTTAATCTTTCGATGGAATACATAAATATTGAATTGAGTGTTTCAAACTTGAGTCCCAACGGTGGAGCCCTTATCAATCTTGGAGATGACAATGGTGGCTGTTGTGGTGCAAGTCACCGTCCAGATCTGGCCGTTTCTGTTGTGTTCTTGGTCTAGACAGAAGCTGCCCTTGAAGCACCAGAACTTCATGGTTGTAGAGGGAAATGAGAAAGAAATTGCTCTCCCCTCCAATGACCCCAAGCTTTTGTGTGTATCGGAACAGTACGCTGGTCTGAATTTTGCCAGTATGAATGAAATAACCTGGTATGAGCTGAGATTTTTGGCAAAGAAATACACATTATCTGTTCCAATTTTGGTCTAAAATGGTACCGCCCGGTACTGAACTAGGGTATTGACAACATTGGTTTCGCTTGCATCAAACTGGGTTTCACAACAGGGGATTGGGGGGGTTTTGGTTGCGATAAGAAGGAATTGGAAATGTCTCTTGGTAGGGAAACAAAAATGCATTCATAACACAAAACCCAAACCTTTGGAATGACCTAAATTGGTTAAAATAGTCAACAAAGACCAAAAAATAAAACTAAAATCATTAATAAGATAAAATGTCACATTCTACACATCAATCAATCACTTTTTCTCTCAAACATAACTTTTTTTCATATCATAAAATAGTTAAAAACTAAAAAACTAACTAAAATAGTCAATATGCCAAACAAAGGCTTATGGGAAAGTCTCAACAACCGATCCTTAGACTTCAATATATCATACTTAATATAAATATTAAAAAAAAAAATTGATTCTAACTACAAAAACATTCCAAAAAAATCACAAGCATTCTTAATTTTTTGCTAGTAAGATTCAATAGTTCCTAATTATTGGGAACCGGGACCTAAATGTCCTCTACAAAACACGAATCAAAACATACAGTTTGGATCAGATCAGATCGGTTTATCGGTTCCACTGATTTTTTAAACACTGCTAATCCGATGGTCAAATAGTACATAAAAGTCCAACAACAAAAAAGATAAATAAATAAAAACTCTTTCCTATGTGTAGAACCACATTTGAGTACAAAATTTGTATTAAAATTACAGGATTTTTGCAACAGATAATTGTGTTGGATTAAACGTACCTGTGAGACAGATAGCCATTGTGTGCCATCAAACCTTGGAATCCGCATATACTGCAAAATGAATTTGGAATTTTACATGGGTTTCATTGTAATGACCATCGGCCGCAGTAGCCAGCAATGCTGCACGATCTTTGCCTACAAGTGCTTGCTTCAACTCCGCAATCCTCATCAGACAAACACCTGTGGTCATTGCGAACGTCAAGGATGTGGCAAGCGCTCTCAACCTGATGACCTCCATGCCCAGATTTCAATGTAGTTGCTGGACAGACTTGCAAAGACATTGCACTTGCTCGTTTCGCTTTCTGTTTACTCTGCAGAATATAGAACTTTCATTCTCCATGAGTCATAACAATTATGACCACTACCTAAGTACAAAAATGGTGCAATTGCATTGCGGAAACACTTGTGCCTTGATATAATGTGCAGTTAAAATTGCCAAACAATGTGACCGCAGATCAAAATTCAGTTTCAATTACGTGTACAGTAATAAAATGAACCAAACTATTTGAGCTCGACTCTGTTTCGGCTCATTAAAACTCGTTTGAAATCAACTCATTATCTAAACAAACCAACTTGAACACAATTTAAATCTTGTTAGATTTTCAAGACAAACTTAAACAACCTACTACTAATCTTCACTCAGTTATATGCATTATAAAAAACCAAGCTACTCGAGCTTGGCTCATGATCGGTGCAATTAAAGCTCATTTGAGATCAGATCAAGAGCAAAACAAAACAAACCAAACTTGACCACATTTTAAAGCTCATTAAGTTTGAACAACTTACTACTTGGCTCGTTTACAACCCCACTTACGTGGCGGGCTACATTACCACCACATCACATGAGCTGACATGTGAACCAGTGGTAGTTTTCTTGGTGGTGGTTTGTTTGTTTTTTTTTTTTTTTGTGTAAAATTGTGATCAGGGCGAAATCCCGATAGAAATAAAATGAGTGTATTGTGCAAATCCGAATGGCTTGAAGGTACAAGACTGTTCCGATAGAAAAAAAAGAATTTGCAAAAGTTATTGATAACATCTAGACTGCAAACATCACATCTGCTAGCATCAAAATATTACAATTGTGGGAAAAAGAAGAAAGGTGACCTTGACAGAAGTCCAGTTGCTTGGGATGTAAGTCTCTGGGAGCCTCTCGTGCCAAGCACTCACTACTGGAAGAGGATGACCCTCAGTTGTGAAAATATAATTCCGACCAACCAAAAATGAATCATCAAAGAGAAGATACAGATACTTGCACCTATGAAAGTATAGAAGAAATTACACAATTAGACATAAAAAAACTTCTTGCTAAAATAGGAGACATTAAATGATATTCGATTTTGATGCGTGATAAACACAATTACTCTGGGTAAAGTATTTTTTCGTGGATATTTGCATGATATTACTGAAATCTCACGTTTCAGCAAGGAAAAAGCTATGCTGATGATCTTCCCATTGCATAGTAGTGACATCTCTAATGCTTGCAAACCCGCTTTCGACTTTGGTGTATAAATTGAGAGAATCTACAATTGTTTCACCCACTTCTAGGAACCATGGATCTGAAAAGAAGGAAGGGGCTATTTATTAAAAAAAGTAATAATCAAAGTAGTCATAAGGCCAGCGAAATGACTTCAATTCATGATAACCAATGTTATGCTATAAAAGTGCAAAACTGCATGAACAACATGCCTAAATGAAACTTGGAGCAAGAACAACCTGCCTACGTGAGAGCACTCATAGGCTATGAAGCAAGCACTGAAGCTTCAAAATGGGTGTCATCGTGACTGTGTTGGACACGTATGGGACACCAACACATTGGGGACATGTGTGTCCACGTGTCAAACACACCACGTGGCATGTCAATTTTTTTAATTATTATTATTATTTTTTTGCAGAACACTTGTTTTTGTTGACACCTCATGGACATGCGTGCCCTATGTTTGGACAAGCTTCAAGATACCTCTGTGAGTTTCTTTTTATAATTTTAGAAAAGCTAATTTGAGGTGAAAGTAAAATAAATGAAAACAAAGACGGAGTAAAGTGATAAAATAAAAACACATCCACTTATTCATTGATGCCTCTTAGATCTTTGTGCCCATGAAGAATGCAAGAGCCTAATGAGTGTGTTGCACCCTAAGTGCTACCATGCCAATATTCAAAATGTTCAGAATGAAATTTAATTGTTAGTTAGAAGCAAGTAGTCTAAGATTCAAAGTTGTTGTCTACTTTTTAGAACAAATGTAATACAGCGAAACACATCATGGAAAAATTATCCGACCCGGTTATATTTATTCCAACCCGATTAGTAAAAAATGTTTGAGAGAGCATTGATAAGATAGGGTAAAGTATAGGGGTAGGTAGGTCAAAACTGTCAAGGTTAGGGAAAAGTACAAAATAGTATCGCTAAAATAATTGAGTTTAAAATCAAGAATTCACAAGCGAAACCCGAAACCCCCGACCCATTGCCATCCTATAACACAGATTACAAGAAAAAGAAATTTACACTTCGATGTAAAACCTGAAAATGGAAATTATCAAAAAATAGGTTAAGGAAGTAAGCAGACCTTTGGTTGCGTGATAGAGATAAAATGTGGACTCCGCCAATTCAGGGCGTAAAGGATAATATTTTTCTGTAGGGTGCAACATCTGAAAATCCAGCAAATACCTAAACAATTTTAAAGGTTCTTATTATATTTTCATCTAAAAGGCAACCATGGTAAGCTATAACAATCACCGGTACTGCTGTCTATATATATTAAACAAAAGCAGATAATATCATAGGAGCAAGAAGCCTGCTACCTTTCTGGTAATACTCCAAACCTCTCCCATACAGAAAAGAACTCACGGTGTGATGAATTAGCAGCCGTAATATCCCCAACAAGTACCTAATTACCATAATAAAGATCAAATTGCACACCACGTTCTAGTTAAGCAAGATGATGTAATGGTCTTCATTTACTTGCCTGTAGACCAGGCCAAAATGCTTGAAGGCTTGTTAGTTGCCAATAAGTTGCTTTTCCTGTCCTCATATCAGCCTCATGGTACCTACATTACAGTAAAATGATTCATATCAACCATAAAACATAATAGTTCGCCATGTCAATTTAATCTTTTCTTAACAACCATTTTTTTCCCTTTTCCCTTAAAAAATGTGCAAAGTGCCAGATGTTTTAATGAATTCTTATCTTAAACAAGTAAATTTTTTTTAATGATATGCCTAGTCATAAATTTGAAATATGAAGAGGCTAACCATGCTAGATAGGGTATTTTTTTTTTGTTTATTTTCAAAAATTAAAAACAGATATAATTCTTCTTCGAAGGGGTCCTTGCTCTAGATCACTCCCCTCCTTTTATTATTGTTTTTAGAAGTCATTAAATAGTCCAGCTGGGGGCCAGCCAGGACCTTTATTTTGACATTTAGTTGGCCAACTGAATTTATATTTGACTTCAGAGAGAAAATACTCATATAAGATGTTTGGCCTCGCACAAAAATTGAGGAAACTCAAAAAAATACTCACATAAGATGTTTTAGCAAATTTGGCTAACTTCAATGCTCTCCATTTATTTAGATTAAAATCAAACGAAAGTTTTGGAAATTCCATTGAATGACTGAAAATTGGATGATAAATAAAAAGCAGGAAACTCGGGAATCAACCCAAAAGAACAAAAATTCCTATGAGTCTGTGTGAACTAGAAGCTTTGAAGCAACAAATGAAACACCAAATTGTTAGTCAGTCTCCTTTCTTTGGATGACAGATATTCCATTCCACATCAATAAACATGATTTCAGGACCAGGATATCTTACTCTCCAGTTCCGACTTATCAAGCACCATTTACTGCTCAGCTCATAGAGGGGAAAAAGGACATTCTATTGAACTAGAAGACAATATATCAGTACTGTACCATGCGCCATGTCTAAAATATTTTTGCACTGCAAGATAAGCGGGCTGAAACATTCTCCAAAATTCATCCCTTCCAAAAAGAATGTGAGCTTTCATTAGATACTCATAGAATGAATCAACCCCTGAAGAAACCACATGGAACCCAGCATCAGAAACAATGTCTCCACACCAGAGATGGAGAGTGAATGAAGTTGATTCTCACCAAGAATGCAATATTCCAATGTAACAACAACTAGGGATTTAATGATTAATAACAAATAACTAAGTCTTAAACACTAGACTACCTAATGCAACCTTTTTTTTTGGGGGGTAATTATACCTAATGCAACTTAGTTATTGCAAAAAGCACAGAGTCTACCATGAGAAGGGATTGAAGTTGAGAGAACATACCAGCTCCAATCCCAGATGAGTACTCTATCCATTCTCCAGTTTCTACATCCAAAGTAGTTCCTAGAAGATTCAAAGAACTCCTCATACTCCACAATTTGCGAAGAGCACGCAAGGCTGCAGATTCAAAGCTGGGGTCACCAGCTAATCGCGATAATGCTCCCATTTCAAGAATCAGTGAACCTGGATCCAGAAATAGAAAATTGACCTTCAGGACATCCTTGAAAGGTTTCATTCAAACTGCAAAAAATGTGCTCCTCACCACACCCGGATGTGCTTGTTTCGGTTGTCTCATTCTCCATCACACCATACTGTCCACAGAATTTCGCATTGATGTAGTGTCATAAATCCCTCTTACAAACAAAACCAGCAAACCATATTCATACTTTCTGATTTATTAAAAGGTGAATTTGGTAAAAGAGCAAAGTGTATTAAAAATAATGCCCTATCGTGTTTTGAGTGTGTATAGATTCAGAAAAGCAACACATTATCATGAAATGAAAATCAACAATACATATTGAAAGATTTTTTTATCTCAACAAATGTTCATTGTCATGATTATGTGATTCAAATAGCATGAAATGTATAACTTAATTTCCGTACTTCCACCAATCATGCGGTCATAAAGAATGGTGCATCAGCCTATTCATTTGCCCACCTGTGATATTTCACTTTTAGCCCGGTCAATCCAATTTTCAGCCTAGAATTTCCACACATTAACGCCAACACAATGGAAATATCATCATACAGTCAATATGGCATGCGTTCCACATAGTATACACTACAAAATTCCCAAACAATAACGCTAACACAATGCAAACATTTGAAACCATGCTACTACAGCAAATGCAAAGCACCATTGATGATTCTGAAGACATACAAAAAATTCAAAGCTACTTTACCAGGTTAAATAAAACATCTTGGATACATCACAATTTGTAAACAATTGGGGAATTGGAATTTTGTCTTATAACTTAAGCATGATATAAGAAGTACCTTCAAGTTAATCCATGCATATGGCAATCCAGTGGGGGTATCAAAAGCAGGTAGAAAGCGCCGCCCTAAATCTTCAGCCAGGATAAGAAGTTGATTCTTATAATTTCTTTGGACCAACCTATTTGTAGAATCAGTTGCAAGAATATGAGCAGAAACAAGTCCTCCAAGAACTCTTATGTTGCACTACACAACAGTGAAAACACCATTAAACACAATCTGATACTTCAAATGCAACTTGATTTAGCACTCCCTGCTAAAGAATAAAACAAAAGAAAAAGAAAAAGCGACATTGCTCAAGCTTTATTTCATTAGCACACTGAGACCACATTAAATGAAACTTCGAGTCAAACAACTTCACTAAATCCTAAATAAAAAAAATTAAAATACCTCAAAAAGATTTATCCTCGCATCAACATCAAAAGTTAAATTTTCAGAAAGCCAAAGAACAGCCCTTTCAAATTCTGTGTTGTTCCCCATGATAACAAGGCTGAGAAACAGAAACAGTATTACCATAATACTCTGTTACAAATACTTCAGTGGCATAATTAGTAATAATATGGAAATAAAATGAAATAAAAAGATATTTGGTGACAGCATAAGAAAGGCATATAGGATAAAAATACAACTACATTGATTTTTGGGTAAATTACACTCATAGTCCCTATAGTTTGGGACTCGTGTCACTTTAGTCCCTGACTTTTCAATTGTGACACATTTGACCATGAATTTTGAATCTTGTTTCAAATAAGAACAATTGAACATACCATTGCTTAATTTCAAGAGCAAAATTGTCAATTTGATAAAATAAAAACTAATTTGACAAAAATAAATGTCAAAAAAATATTTTAAAATTTTTAAAAATTATTTCTACCCACCAAAGATAAAAAATTATGTAAAATTGATAAAAATTAGTAAAAATTACATGATTAATTTTTAAAAATTAATTTTACACGATCATCATCCAAATACATAATAAAAATTAATTTGGTAAAAAAAAAAACAGATTTCTCAACTGAGGCTGACTTGTGAAGAAATTATTTTCAACTATAGAAATGAACGACAGTGTAAACCTCAAGTTTTTCGTACAGTTTGGTATGTTAATCAGACTTTGTAATCCTAATTTCTTATGTGGTGGCCACAGATTTCTCAACTGAGGCTGACTTGTGAAGAAATTATTTTCAACTATAGAAATGAACGACAGTGTAAACCTCAAGTTTTTCGTACAGTTTGGTATGTTAATCAGACTTTGTAATCCTAATTTCTTATGTGGTGGCCACAGATTTCTCAACTGAGGCTGACTTGTGAAGAAATTATTTTCAACTATAGAAATGAACGACAGTGTAAACCTCAAGTTTTTCGTACAGTTTGGTATGTTAATCAGACTTTGTAATCCTAATTTCTTATGTGGTGGCCACAGATTTCTCAACTGAGGCTGACTTGTGAAGAAATTATTTTCAACTATAGAAATCAACGACAGTGTAAACCTCAAGTTTTTCGTACAGTTTGGTATGTTAATCAGACTTTGTAATCCTAATTTCTTATGTGGTGGCCACAGATTTCTCAACTGAGGCTGACTTTTAAAGAAATTATTTTCACCTGTAGAAATCAACCTCAAGTGTCTGCAAGAGAAGAGGGGTAAAAACTTATGAATATATAAGTGATATTGATCAGATACTTAAATGTGACAAACAACGCCAAGACAATGGAAATATCAGCGTATAGTCAATATGGCATGAGTTCCACATAGTATACGTATACAAAATTCCCAAACGTTAATGGTAACACAATGCAAACATTTGAAACCATGGTACTACAGCAAATGCAAAGCACCATTGATGATTCTGAAGAGATACAAAAAATTCAAAGCTACTTTACCAGGTTAAATAAAACATCTTGGATACATAACAATTTGTAAACAATTGGGGATTTGGAATTTGTCTTATAAGTTAAGCATGATATAAGAAGTACCTTCAAGTTAATCCATGCATATGGCAATCCAGTGGGGGTATCAAAAGCAGGTAGAAAGCGCGGCCGTAAATCTTATGGCAGGATAAGAAGTTGATTCTTATAATTTCTTTGGACCAACCTGTTTGTAGAATCAGTTGCAAGAATATGAGCAGAAACAAGTCCTCCAAGAACTCTTATGTTGCACTACACAATAGTGAAAACACCATTAAAGACAATCTGATACTTCAAATGCAACTTGATTTAGCACTCCCTGCTAAAGAATAAAACAAAAGAAAAAGAAAAAGCGACATTGCTCAAGCTTTATTTCATTAGCAAACTGAGGCCACATTAAATGAAACTTTGAGTCAAACAACTTCACTAAATCCTAAATAAAAAAAATTAAAATACCTCAAAAAGATTTATCCTCGCATCAACATCAAAAGTTAAATTATCAGAAAGCCAAAGAACAGCCCTTTCAAATTCTGTGTTGTTCCCCATGATAACAAGGCTGAGAAACAAAAACAGTATTACCATAATACTCTGTTACAAATACTTCAGTGGCATAATCAGTAATAATATGGAAATAAAATGAAATAAAAAGATATTTGGTGACAGCATAAGAAGGGCATATAAGATAAAAATACAACTACATTGATTTTTGGGCAAATTACACTCATAATCCCTATAGTTTGGGACTCGTGTCACTTTAGTTCCTGACTTTTCAATTGTGACACATTTGACCATGAATTTGGAATCTTGTTTCAAATAAGAACAATTGAACATACCATTGCTTAATTTCAAGAGCAAAATTGTCAATTTGATAAAATATAAAAATTTGACAAAAATAAATGCCAAAAAAATATTTTAAAATTTTTAAAAATTATTTCTACCCACCAAAGATAAAAAATTATGTAAAATTGATAAAAATTAGTAAAAATTACATGATTAATTTTTAAAAATTAATTTTACATGATCATTATCCAAATACATAATAAAAATTAATTTGGTAAAAAAAAAATAAATGTCTAAAAGATTTATCAATTTTATATAATTTTATCTTTAGTAGGTAGAAATAATTTTAAAAAATTCAAAAATAATTTTTTGACATTTATTTTTGTCAAATTAATTTATATTTTATCAAATTGACAAATTTGTCCTTGAAAAATCTAATAGTATCTTCAATTGTCCTTATTTGGAACAAGATTCAAAATTCAGGATCAAATGTGTCATAATTGAAAAGTCAAGGACCAAAATGACACAAACCCCAAACTATAGGGACCGTTAGTGTAATTCACTCTTGATTTTTATGAACTTGTCTCTAAGAAAGAGTATATCATACCTGGATAGCGATTCTACAAGTGTGAGGGCAGATCCATGATACTCTTGTGGCAAATGTTCGAGCTAAAATTTGAAACAGTAGGTACTTTAAATTATCCATTTAAAGCTAAACACTGCAAAAGATTTCAAAAATAAATAATTACCTTCAAATTTCCCAGCTCAACAAGGGAGTCGGTGAATGTTTTGGCTAGAGGCTTTAGTTCATCATGCTACAGAACCAATAGACCACAACTTCATAATATTCATCAAATATAAATAATACATCATATAGTGGGAACTAGAACTGACCGGAAAAGCATAAGTCATATAGTTGTCATAAGCATGGTAAAACCTGAAAGGGAGAAAAAACAGCCATACTGTTAAAGCATACCACATTTATCAGCTAAGAAATATATGTCAGATTTCAACAATGCAGAAAGTTGGTTCCTTTCGTTCCCCATTTTTCTTCCTTATCAGGTTTCTTCCATTTTCTCATTTGCATGGGCCAATTCATACTGACATGTTATGATATGCTGGTAATGGCTTCAAATAAAGCCCTTAGGCTCATTTTGGTATTGAAAGGAACATAGTGTTCAGTCTTACATATTTTTGCTGTTTGGTTCATGAGAAAACAAAAAATCCCAACTAAACTAAAAAAACAAATAAGTGAAAGAATTAGTTGATTTGTTGACAATCAAGAACACAAAAACTACAATCAAATACTTTATTTTCCTTTTCTTTCTAAAGAAAAACTATGACACCCATATTTGACACCCTCAACATGCTATTCTATCTACTGGCACCAAAAAATGTTGTTACCATGAACTCTATAATTTTTTCCTCTAATTTTTTTGATAAATACCAGGCATCCTATAAGTTGAAAAACTAAATTGCTCCCCTGTAAGAGAGGAAGCAAGTCTGAAGCTAGATATCTAATACTTCAACAAAATTGAAAAATAAAAAAGTATGGTAATATCTGATAATTTGCAGAACCTTAAATAATGCAAATTTAGTAAAATTTGACCCAAAAATATTAAATTGAGCAATGGAAACCCACTTCTGTAAATAGGAAACCCATAGAACCCAAAGATAACCCAAATAGTAGAAATGGACAGCTTGTGAAATTCAACCCAAAAAATCAGGTTGTTGATGAGAATTTTCTTTTATGCTCTATTTGGTTCATTGGAATGAGATGGAATGGAATGTTAATTCCTTAGGTTTTCTTATGAAATGATCATTCCCTTAACCATTTGCAATGTATTTGTCATTATATTTTTAGTCTAACAAACATGGGAATGAATATTTTGATGGAATAATCATTCCATTCCGGTTCATTCCAAATTCCAATGAACCAAACACTACTTTATATCTTTCAGACATCCATCCATTTAAGTAGTACTTGCATAGGATACACAATTTTTTAGTATATAGAGAAAATCCATAAACAAGGCGCATAAATTCAGCTGAATTGAAGACGATGAATTGGAAAGGGCGATTGACTCACATCTTGCGAACTTTGTGACTCATGCGTCTCTTCTTAGCTACCCAACGAGGATCGAGTTCTGACATAGATTTGTGGAAGATGGTTGGAGATATCACCAGAAAAATCAGAATCCATGTCCCACAATTGCAACGAACCATGTTATCACACACAATTGATTTTAGAGAGAGAGTGGGAGAGAAGTGGAGAGCAGGAGGGGAGTACTGATCTGATGTTCGATAGGATCAAAGGCACCGTTTGTGTGGGGCTTATAGAGAGGGGAACTAGACTTGGGAAAATGAGTGACAGCATTAACTATTGTAATTAATAATGATTTGGCAGTGACCTCATCTATTGCTATAGTTTTTTTTTTTTTTACTAGTAGGTGTTAGTTTAGAGTATTAATTTTTAGCAGTTTCTATCATTATTGGTTTTAGAAGTTAGGATAAAGGAGGTGAAGGTGATATTAAAAAAATAATTTGTCGGATTAGAAATTTTTTATTATTATTTGTTTTTATTTTCTTTTTACATGTTGGCATTTTTTTTGAACATTAATATTTAATTTTTTATATTTTTTATTAAGTAAAAATCATTATTTAATTTGTTTATTTTTTTTTGAAACTTTTTTTTATTTTTTTAAAAAAAATTTATATGCTGGGCATTTTTTTTTAACATTAATATTTAATGTTTTTGTATTTTTTATTTATTTTTTATTTATTTTATATAAAAATAATTTAACAATTCCTACACTAACAACTATCATCAAAACAAATATAATTTTACTTAATCCCCTCATTATCAATTCCCCCACTAACAATCCTCTCACTATTAATCTTTTGTATTCTACTTCTGAAAACAAATGGGGCCAAAGACTTCTCCTCAATTTTATCTTTAAAAAATTTAAATTAAAAAAAGTTATAATAAAATAAATTTTAGGTTTCGTTTGGGATGTGAGTTAATTTTTTTGATTAGCTTTTTTATTATTTTAGTATGAGTCTAAAAAGTTTCGTTTATGATGAGATTTTTTATTTTTTTGAAAGAGAAAATGAAATAATTATAATTTGGATGTGACATTTTTTTAGTCTGAGATTAAAAAGTCTATTTTTTTTTTTACTATTTTAACCCTAACTCCCCCTAACGCATCATGCAAAACCAGTGCTAAGAAAATAATTTGAATTAAATAAAACATAAGTAAATAAAAAGGGATTTATGAATAAATGTCCCTCTAATTTTTTAATTTAAATCATCTCCTTATTTTTATTAGGTAAAAGTGACAAAAAAAATAATGTATATAAGATTTTTTAAATACCTTTCTTTGTTGAATTTAATGATTAAAATATCTTATTTTCGTTAATTTTACTTAACAAAAATAGGTAACTAATTTAAATTAAAAACAAAATAAAATATTACAGTTTAAATTAACAAATTTGAAAATTCATGATTTATTTTGTTATAAGAGTCAAACCTAGATTTTTTTTTGTTTGTAATTTTCATTAAAAAATTAATTAATTTTCTGAATAATTATAGTTTGATTACCAAATCATAAATATTTTTTAAAAAAATAAACAATTTTTTAACATCTTATTTGGTTTAATTTTTGAAATTTTTTTTGAAAAAATTTCAGTTAAGTGTAAGTTCTAAAAAACAATTACAAATAAATTATAAATTTTTTATGAATTTATAATAGTTTTCTTAAATTACCGCTAAATGATAATTTTCTCATTTTTTTAATAAAAAAATTGTAACTTTTATAACTCACTACTCATAATATTAACATCGAAATTCACATAATTAATAGTCATCTCAGAAATTTTTAATTACTGACTCCAATTTTGCATACATACCTTTTAACTCAATCACAAAATAATTTTTAATTTTGTATGTAATTCCCTCCAAAAAAATCTATCAAGTGAAATGTATGAGATATATTTAAAATTGATATAATATGTGTCATACACAGATTGAATCTAGTCCCTACAATTATGTTTCAAGTATTAACAATTGATTAAAAAAGCATCCTTACATAGTAAAATAATACTCAATTTTTTCATTAAATATAACTTACGTTGAATTAAGGCATAAACAAATAAAACTCGCTTAAGCTCCATCAAGATTAGCATTAATCATATGGCTTGTCAATAGCAAGTGTCAAACTTCATATATCAATTTTATTTATTTATTGGTTAAAATATTAGTATCAATATTTTAAATCCTACTTTGTTTGTCACTTAAGAAGTTTAAATTAAGAGAATATTAAAAATTGATATTGACAAATGTAATTTATTTTATATAAATTTTAATTAAGTTTTTGAATGACTTTCGTTATTAATATTTCTAAAGTAAATGAGGTAATTGAGTTGATATGTTGAATTGCATTTAATTTTAGGGTAAATTACACTGACACCCCTGAGATTTGGTCTAATTATATTCCATCCCTTGACATTTTGAAAATTACATTTTCACTCCTGTGGTTAATAGTCTTATTTCACAAATCCCTTTACTTATATAAAAGGCAATAACTTCAAGTAGAAAAATAGAGGAAATTACATTGGAAAAAAAAAAGTAAAACAAAGGAAATGAGGAAAAAAAAATAGAAAAAGTAATGCAAAGTGGTCGTTTGGGGTGTCCTAAATAAGTGCACTTTTTGTCTTTTTGGACTAAAAAGTTAAGGAGAAAAATATGGATGTTTGGGTTAACTTTTTGACTTTTCATAAAAAAATGTGTAATAAAAAATTGTAAAAATTGATTTGTAGAGGAAAATTAGGATTGGGAATTGTGCAGTCACAATTGTTGACTTTTGGTAAATAGTGTTAACTTTTTAACTTTTTTGGTAACTTTTTAACTTTCTGGCTTTTTTTACGTACCCCAAACTTGGCCAAAGTAAGAAAAAAGAAAGTGCATGAATTCAATGTCTTCATTCCGTCTAAATAATTACAATGACAATTGGGAGGTTAGTGTAATTTTCTAAACGTCAGGAAGTGATATATATTAAACCCAACCTCAAGGGAAGTAAGTGTAATTTACCCTTAATTTTATCTAGGAGAAATCTACAACATGCATATATCATAAGAAAATTATGATTTCTTATGATGAAAGCCATGATTGTTTATGATATACGTTATGATATTTTGTAGTAAAGTTATGAATAACAAATTTAGGATGTGTATCATAAAGTTAGGAACAATAATGTTATGACTCTTTGTAATTTTGTAATAACAGTTTGTGGTTTTGCTATGACATTTTACAGTAAAAAAAAAAGTTGCGACTCTTGTAGTGAAAAAAAATTATGACATTTTGTGAAAAAATTATGAGAGGTATACAATATGCACCTTTTAAAAGTGCACATGGTAACATCTCTCTTTTTATCTAACTCATTTATTTTTGAGAACCTGGAAAACATTATATGAATAAACAACAATATTACATAAATAAAACCCTAAAAGGCAATTCCAACCAAACAACAAAACAAAAAACAAATCAACCAAAAAAACAACAAGAAGCCAGAGAAAATCACCGATCTTCTCAAAGATGTGGTCTGGAAAGTAAAATTTGCTTGAAAGCCCATTTTCCCGTCGACGTCGTCCCCGTCGCTGTTGCTGCCCAACTCCGCCGCCGAATGTCGAACATCGCTGAAAGCTAGAGTTGAGAAGGAAGCATATCCACAATGATATGGAAGAAGGCTTGAGAGAGGAGAAAACCATTGTAGGTGTCGAAAGTCTAAAATTTATGCTGAAATCAGAGGAGAAAACTCTCAAAATCTCTATTTCGGACATAAAAAATCAATATCTACACTCGAAAATTATAGATCTATACTCTAGAAGTGTAAATCTACACTTTAGAAGTGTAAAATGGGTTACCGGAGTATCGCTAAAGTACCACCGAAAATCACCTAGAGAGTGGGGCTCTGCTCTGCTCTCTCTCTCCTGCTCTCTGTGTGAACTTTTTTAACAAGTTGTTTTTAATACATAAAAGCTAGCTTTTGGTTCTTTTTTAAAAAATATGCAAAAAATAGAAAGGTGATGTGACTCGAAAAAATCAAAAAGTCAATAAATTAATTTTTAACTTACTTCCCAAAATAGACTTTATTTTTGACACGTTTAAACTCATCTTATTTGCTATGTGTCACTAATTTTTATTACCTTTACAATACTCATATTAATTTTTTTTATTTACAAAAACAAAAAGACAAATATAAAATGAAAAAAACAAAAGATCCAATGATATAGGGTTCTCATTACAAAATTTTGACCACTTGTTGCATGTTCTCGACTTAAACCTAACGCTGACCACGGCCGAGCTTGTCCGGGTTTAGGTTAGGCTTCTATTAAATAACACTGGAAGTCATTTTTTAAGTTGGTATAGTTTGAAGGGGATTTTTTTTTTTTAGGGTCCTTAGTATCAAGATTTTATAGTATAAAGAATATTCAATATTTTCATGATATTTAAGGTCCCTCAATATCAATACAGAGAAAATTTAAACCAAAGAATTTTTGGACAGAGAAATTCAAAATTTCTCTGCTTTGTTCTTATCTGATCTAGAGAAAATTCAAAGCACTCTAGAGAAATTCAAAATTTCTTTGCTTTGTTCTTACCTGATCCAGAGAAAATTCAAATCACTCCAGAGAAATTCAAAATTTCTCTACTTTGTTCTTACTTGATCTAGAAAAAATTTGAACCACTCCAGAGAAATTCTTTCTCTAGAGAAATTCTTTGATAGCCTTCATAATCATCATCTTTTTTCTACATCAAATAAGCAGCTGTAGCAGCACCATGAAAGCCATAGAAGCAACAATACTTTGATAGTATCAACACAAATGCACAACAAGACAAATGATTAACTAGAGGTAACATGAGGCAATAACAGTATCAACTCCACCCATCAATAGCTCGATTTGACCCTTCTAGAATAAACTGGACAACAAGCAGATACAACAACTGCAAACTAGCCACTTATGATCTCACTTGAGTCAACAATAGCTCAAAGAAAAGAGAAAAAACACAGCCACAACTCTAGAGAACTTTTGGAAATCCAAATTTCTCCAGACTGGATTTCTTAGAGAAATTCAACAAACTTGATCATCTTCAAACAATCTCTCAACGAGCACTTCTCTCTCAAGCTCTTCAACACATCGTGCAATTCCTTTGTTGATATAAATCCATTCCCATCATGATCGTACAAATCGAACGCATTGCGAAGCTCTTTGTTACTACTCTCATCACCATTGCCATAACCAGACCTCGAAAGAACCAAAGTCAAAGAAACCCAAATCAGGCCAACCTGGCAAGCCCGAATCGTTGGTGAGTTCGATCTCCAAGACCTTTCCAGAAGAACAACTCGCTTGTTGCTTGATAATGTTATCGAGAGACAAATGGATATTGAGAAACGAACAAAAAGATGAAGAATATGAAGATGAACAGACTGTGTCCGATCCAGATGAGTTCAAGAAACAGAGCAATAGGACTTGGATTCAAGGAAAGTACAAGCGCGAGACTTATCACAGAGGATGATTACGCACAGATGATGAGGAGATCGAGATCAGTGAATTGATTTGATAGAGTTAAATTTCTCTCGGATATATGGGGGTGTGGTTGAGGGATTTAGACATCACAAAATAACATTGTGAATCTCTTCCATTACTAAAAATAGGAGAGAAACCTTAGACTAATTTTCCCTAGTTTGAAATAGGGTCTATACTTTATTCTTAAATTCTTTCAAAACAAAAATAATAAATCACAAATCCACTCACATAGATTAAATATTATTTAATATAATTTTTTTCATATTTTAATATATATATATATATAATTAATTAATTTAATCATTTGGGTGCTTATTTAACCTATTCAAGACTAGTAGTTCAAATTTATAATTAATTCTTTACATAATTAATAACACATAATTTATACTTATGAAAAATAAACAATGTTAAAAACATACACATAAATGTGCATTTATAAAAATATATTATATAATATAATTTGTGGACAAATCAGGGCGGGCTCAGAGAGCTTAGCAGGCCATCGGGCCATATCCACCCCTACTTGAACCATGCATGAAATGTTACACTTCCGTACACAAGTAATTATTCTGTATTTTAAAAATAAAATATTGTGCATCTACATAATAATAATAATAATAAGTCAAATGTTTACTCAATCCAAAAAATAATGAATATAGCGAACAAACCACAAAATGTCATTAAACAAGCATACGACCACCTGATACATAGGATCTATGTAATAATTTCTACATATTACACATTATCTCACTCTAAATATACCTAACTTTCCCCACAACCTCTCTCTTCCACAATAATCCGGCATGTCCACGTTAACTTTCATTTTTCCTCTCCAGTCACTTTTACCACCCAAAGATATCTGCAATTCCTCTCTCTTCTCCCACTTGAGGAAGCAGATCTCTCTATCTGCTTTCTCTCTCTCTCTCTCTCTCTCTCCAACCATGGCTTTTCCATTACTTCTCTTTATAGTTTTCTCATCGCTCTCCTCCATTTCCTATTCTAAGCCCCTTCTCACCGATGATTATTACTCAAAAACATGTCCCCTATTACACAAAATCATGGAAGAAACTGTCAGCTCCAAGCAGATCACCAATCCTACTACTGCTGCCGGTATCCTCCGCGTCTTCTTCCACGATTGCATGGTCGAGGGTTGCGACGCGTCCATCCTCATTGCCTCCAACCAATTCAACAAGACTGAGCTTGACTCCGACATCAATGAATCCCTCCCTGGAGACGCCTTCGACCTCATAACTCATGCCAAGAATGCGCTTGAGCTCGCTTGCCCTAACGTCGTCTCCTGTTCCGACATCCTCGCCATCGCAACCCGAGACCTCGTAAAAATTGTTGGTGGTCCCTTTTTCCAAATCCCATTAGGTCGAAAAGACGGCCTTGTGTCGAAGGCCTCACATGTCGAGGAAAACCTAGCTAGGGCTAACACGTCGATCGATGAAATAATTCGAAGGTTTGAGACGAAAGGGTTCACAGTGGAGGAAATGGTGGCATTAATGGGTGGTGGACACACGATTGGATTCTCTCACTGCAAGGAATTCGGAAACAGGATATTCAACTTCAGTAAGACGTTAGATGTTGATCCTTCGATGAACCCTAAATTTGCAGAGCGGTTGAGAAACATTTGTGAGAATTATCATACAATGCCGCGCATGGCGGCTTTCAACGACCCCATTACGCCGGGGGTGTTTGACAACATGTACTTCCAAAACCTTCTTCGAGGGTTGGGTCTTCTCGAGTCCGATCAAGTACTCATGAGAGACACAAGAACGAGGCCGATCGTCGAGCATTATGCAAAGCATCAGACAGCATTCTTCGTGACATTTGCTAAAGCGATGGAGAAGACTAGCGTTTATGGGGTTAAGACCGGACAAGACGGAGAGGTGAGAGTCCGATGTGATAAGTTTAACTCGGTTTGGCCACGAACAAAATAACCATGGTTTACGGATGAGAGAGAGAGAGAGAGAGAGAGAGAGAGAGTTTTAATTTTTTTGTGAATCATTGATGGTGGTAATTGATGATTTTGGGAGTGTTTATTTCAGTTTTTCAGAGTCACTTATGACTTTTAGTTTTGAAAAAATTATTTTAGACTGTTTGGTAAATTTATTTCAAACAGCTTCTGATTCTAGCAGCTTTTTTTAATTCAAAAAAATTAATTCTGAGAAGCTGCTCACCCTTGCTTCTGATTATCAACTTCTGCTGTGAACATGTTAATTTATGGTTATACTCTTAAATTTTTTTATTTTTTATTTTTTTAAAAATAGAAAAAGGACTATATATTATTATTATTATTTTTTATGAGAAATGTAGACAAACAAAAAATAAAAATTAATTGAAAAAACTATTTCACAGCTTATTTAACAAACACTACTCAGCAACTTAAATCTATAATCTAACAGCTACACCAAACAGATTAACAACTTCTGATTAAAGTCATAATCTATAATCTGTTAAGGTATAATCTATAAACTGTCTTAACAGTTACACCAAACGGGACCTTCGTTGCGTCTGCTTTATCCAAAAGTGTTGATGGTTGATTATACAGAATCTAGGTGCCTTAAAACTATGGAAACTAAAGAAGAGTGCTTGCTGAAGCAACCACTCAGTTATAAAAAAAATAAAAAATTGCAATTCTTTGTAACAAATCTAATATTATTTTGTTTTTATATATTGATAATCATTCAATTATGTTAAAATTTTGAGTTATAAAATTTTCCAAATATGATTCCACAGTTTTTAATATATGAGAACAAAAGATCTTGCCAACGTATTTTCAATTCAAAAGAAAAATAGAAAAAATAAAATTAAAAAATTCTTACATTTTTATTTTTGTTTTTGCTGTAAGAATTCTTGCATTAATTTTGTACATTTTCAACTAATCTCAAAATATTATCTTATGTTGCAGCCATGCCCATGGGACTAGAAATTATCACATAGCTGTAATTTGAGTGTTTCATGTTGGGCCTTAACGGGCCCATCACAAGTCCATATCAATTATCCCAATAGTTGATTTTGTAAGATGATTCAAGCAAATCATACATAATAATAATAATAATAATAATAATAAAAAATAATAAATAAAAAATTGATCAAAGAAAAGTAATATCACAAGATTGGTTACTACTTATTTTCAAAAAAAATAGATTGTAATTATAATTTTGAAAATATATCATCCATTATGACTTCAATAATCTGATTGACCTGATTTTTTATATAAATAATCTTTTAAGAAGGTCTTACAAAATAAATAGTTCATATAATATAATTTCTCAGTAGGAGACAACCTGTTCCCATTCATAAATGCTAAAATCATAATAATCATAAATTCATAATGCATTTGTCAGCAAAATGCAAATATAATGATTTATGTAACAACCTTTTAGATTGTTTGGATCAATGATCCCCTTTATACTTCTTTCACTCCACAAATCCCTAATCAAGCGCAGTATGACATTAGTTTGCATCGATATTGGATTGAAAATATATTAAAAATAATTTGAAAGATTAAGAAAGGTTTCTCAAATCCATGAAAAGTATGGTAAAATTGTTAAGAAAATGTACCTTATTCTTCTCTTCAGAGAACTGGCATTTAAACTTCCTCTGGGGTATAGAATTTCTCTTCTGAACAGTTTGCTCCACGGGAACAAAATTGTATCCATAGAATTCAGACTTCCCATCTAGATTTTTTCAGATTTTCATCTTCTAGGTTTAGAACTTTTCACATTATCAACGATACGCATCAAAATTTTCACATAAATGAGATATCATCCTGTCTGAACAAGGAAATCTATGACAAAAGAACTTCGTTAATCAATTTTATAGATGTCATTTCGGATATTTTACAATGCTTATATGGACATTAAAGTGAAAAAAATCAATAAAAATCTAATGTAAATATAGGTCAAAATGAGGTGGGATGCTGGCTAAGAATGCCCTAACTTTCAATATTTTCCCACTTTACCTACTAGCAACTCCTACATTTCGCACCTACACATGACATCCGAACTAGTTGGGGAAGAAGACTCGCTCTTACATACACAAAACTGTTAACTTTTGAACTAGGGAGATTGTGGTTATCAAATAGAGGTATTCAGAAGCGGATAATGAACTCAAACAACACAATTAGATTAACTCCATACTTAACTATTGCATTCTGATTTTGAAATGTCGCAATAATTTAGTAGAGGGCAGGAATTGCCATACGATTCTCTTTTTTGCGGATTACCTCCTCTCTTTGTGCATTTCTGACAGAGCTTGCCATGCGTGAACAAAAGACAGTTTAGGTCAAACTTGAGCTCATTTGGAATCCGTCGATTGAGATGAAGGTATGTCTTTTTTGTGTCTGCCGCTTCTGGCACCCAACCAATAGCCTTTGCAATTTGGAAAACCTGTGTAGACGCTTGAATATTTAATTTCTTCCATCATGGAAAATCAGTTTGAAGAATATTATACTTACATGCGTGTCCACCGGGAAATCATCTTTCTGAAGTTGGAACATCAAGACACAAGCCACCTGCCATCCATTTTTAAATTATTAATTTTGACAATAGTGAAAGGATACCAACCAACTCAAAAACAATACCCCAACTACTTTGGCTGTTCATACAAGGCTTTTACACATGCCGCTCAAAAAAAAAAATTTAAAATTTTATAACCACATCTTTACTTAATTCATTCACTCCATTTCTTCTCTCTTTATCTTGACTGAGTTCTTTTTGCCATATCATTAATGAACTAGGCACACACAATTACACATGCACAAACCCACGTAAACAATATAAGAAATTTCATAAATGTTCCGGTTGACAGAATACTAGTCTGACGGGGTTCCCAACCCATAACTCATAACAGCAGTTTGTTTTAAATGCATGTCTTATTAGAAGAATCTACTAAGCATTAACTAAAAGCTTCCACTGCAAACTCATATCACCAATAAAATTTGCAGAAAAAAATGAAATAAATAAAATAAATAAATCAGCATCACTTGGATCAATTCAGAAATCTGCATGTCAACATCTGTGAGCATGCATTCATTGTTTTCCTTTCACACACACCTCATAAGGACAATGCACAACTTCCGAGTCCTGTTTAACTCAGACTCAGCACAATCCTCTTGCTGACTTCCAATCAATTTGTTCACTAATCTTTGACCAAATGGACACCACCAAAGAGAGAATGAAAGGGTAACAAAGAGCTCCAGCAACCACACTGCACGTGTTAAACTGGTAGCTCCAAAGTTGTTCAAGTTCAACTAAGATTGCTTTCCAACATCTATCATCAAGGTCTGTTCCTTATAGAAGTTTAATAGGTGTATTAAAACTTGTAGCCCAAAATTGAAATAAAACAATGGGATTTGTTCAATTTGAATAGAACTGTATTGCAAGTCCTTTTTCTTCTTCTTCTTCTTATTCCATTTTCATATTTCAATAAATGATTTTGCAGTAGTTCTTTACCACCAATGCATATCAACTCCAGCTAGCTTTTTACAAAAGCTAATGCAGTGAATCACAGGTGTACTGGGCATGCATTGAATATAAGAGAAGAGATGAATAGGGACTGGGGTTCACATTGCAACACGTGTGAAGGAAAGCCAATAGATGTGCTGATGTTTTGGCTCATGAAGGTTTATCAACTGTAACAGAGCTCCAAATTGTGGATATTCCTCCTCTCTTGGTTCGAGATAAGCTCTATTGGTACGTATCAGACTGGGGTTTCCCATGGCATGTCTTGATGAAGTAGGCCGCCTCAATACCAAAAGAGCTAGCATAGCTAGTAAAGTAATAAAGATAGTCATTCCCAAGTCCTACAAAGAATCCTGCCTTCTTTACCATGGAGGGGGCTAATAGCTGGAGTTTGAGGAGAGCTTAGCTTACGCCACATATGGCCCATTGTCACATTGGAACCAAAGAAGAGTTTGAAAGTGCCATGTTCAAGTAGTACTCAATATGGCCCGTTTCAGATATATGTTATTCAATTAATTTTCATGGATTTGACAATTGTCTAAGACAGACATACTAAAATATCAAATATGTACAAATACTTCCACTTCTCTTGCTAATCATGGAGAATATTTTTCATTATTAATTTTGAGGTTTGACTTTCCAAATTCTGACCTTATATGATTTGGTTTGAAAAACTCTAGAACTACTCAACGATTGAAGTACAACTCGTGATCCAATACTTTGAAGAAAAAAATTCGTACAAATTATTATCATGAATTATAAAATCACTTCAACGTTACAAAGAACACAACGGAAGCATTTCAAACACAATAAATGATTTCATTTCTCAAGAGCATGCATATACTCCTCGAACTAGAAAATAAAGCCTCCAAACTTTACCCATGAAATTTAGAAATCATGTATTCCTACCAAAATACACTAATTCAACAGGACCTCCAATATCTAACAACGAAAGTTTGAAAAAATATATCAAGTAGAGGTTGAAGGTATATTACTGTTTTGGGGCCAATTCCTTTAAATTGAGAGAGCTCAGCCTTGATTTCATCAACTGACAAATCCCGCAGGTATTCCAAGCATAATTTGCCTTTTTTCTCAAGCAAGCAACTCAATACATTCTTTATACAGGAGGCCTTGGTTGGGGCTAACCCTCCACATCTTATGGCATTCTCTACCGATTTTGATTCAGCTGCAAGAACCTTAACCATAAAAAACAGCAACCCATGAAATATGCAGCCCAGAAACAACCAAATTGCTCTCAATCATCCTTATCATAAATTAAAAACACAAGCAATTCATTAATAGAAAAACAACCCATTAAAATGTGATAGTAAGGATACTATATAGCAATTAGTGAACCATAACTTATTCTGATTTATTCATAGCTATAAGCCAAACCAAATGTAAATCACAGGAAATGAATAGCAACCATCAAAAAGAAAGTACATAACTACAAGCAGCCAAAAACACCTATCTTTTTCAATTCAAGGCTATTCATCATGTTGGAATTTTTGGTTTTTATAGGCTTATTTTGGGCCAACTTTGAGCCCAAATTTGAGTAGGGCCCACATGTCTTTTGGGGTGGGTCCAAAGAGGTGACGTGTTTCTTGCCGCATGGCAAGTCACACAGTGAAGACTATTCGTCAAAACCATTTATGAGTGAATGGGAAGTTCACGTCGTTTTCGAGTTCGTGGAATAGACAATTTAAGAAGTAAAATGTGGGTTTCCTTGAATTGGTTATCCTACATTGGAAACTTAGGAGAATTTATATGTGTATATAAGTTCTAGGTGACAATACTTGGGTTTGGCCCCAAGGGGGCACCCCAAGAAGGGAGGAGTTATGAACAAAGTGAACCTTGGCCAAACCACTACACACACGCATGTGCGCCGCCGCTACCGTCTAGCCGAGCTGTTCCGGGTGTAGGTCGGGTCAGGTCGGTTTTAATCATAATTTATTTGAATTTTTTCCAGAGATTCTTGTAGGAAAAATTAGGCTCTGTTTGATAGAGCTTTGGAACTTTAATTCCAGTCATTGGTTCTCAAGTGGTGTTTGTTTGCAGCTTTTAAAAATTAATTCCACGTTCACTTTTGAAAACTCGGTCGAAGGCGGGAAAATTTGGGCTAACCGGTCATCCGGTCGGTTGATCAGAACAGTGCAATTTTTATTTTATTTTATTTTATTTTCGCAATTGACACATGTTAATTTTTATATATTCAACAAAAAATATTTTCCGAATTTTTAAAAAAATTTATGAGCTTTAATAGAATTTTGAATTGTGTGTTTGGTTATGAGTTGTAAGTTTTTGTATCAAATATCATATGTCACATCAAAAATTCCCTACTCAATTCAAAACTCTTTTTAAAACTCATTCACTAAACAAATTTTCCACACTCAAATCATAATTTCAAAATTCACAAACTCAAAATACAACTTCTATTCTCAAATCATATTTAGAAAACTCTATCAAACGCTATCTTATTTTTTCTAAACGAAATTAATTCAAATTTTTGCGCCAAATTTGAATTTAATTTTCTATTCAATTTTGTGCCTCTTCTAGTCCTTTCCAGCAAATTCAAAACAATTTTTTCAAACTATTTTAATAGTTTATACCCGGACAGATTCAATTTTGTTTCAAACAGATTCAAACTGTCACAGTTTGAATTCTGTATTTGTTCAAAACTGTTTGCACCTGTTCTGTTTGAAAACAAATCTATTCATTTCAAATTGAACCTGTTCGGATAGCCACATTTATGCCTATAAATATAAGTCTCATTCCAGTAGTTTTTTACAATCACAAACATCCAGAAAAATCTGTTCCCTTCCCTTTTGTTCTCTTTTTGCATTATTCTTCATATTAGTTTTTTAGAGAAAAATTCTGAGAGTATAGAACACAGGTTTGGTTTGCCGTACAGGTTGTTTGGAGTACTACTACAATCTTTGTAGATCATTGTATCCTAGGAGATAGACGCTATTTAATCCGTAAGCACCGAAGTGGGGCGAATTTATCTTAAGGACAGAGTGTCACACACTCGACTTAATCTTTTAAATATTTATTCGGTTCGGTAAATAAATTTGTTAAAATTGATGCATAAAGAAATAGAGAATTGTATTATTGATTGATCTATGTTGTGTTTACAATGAGTCCTATATATAGAAGATTAAAGGAGGTAGGTATGTAGTAGGTGGAGTAGTAGGTGGAGTAGTAGGTGGAGTAGGTGAAGTGGGTGGAGTAGGTGTAGTGATAGGTTTTCGTACATTTTAACAGCCCCCCGCAAACTCAAGGGGGATAGGAACTAACCAACTTGAGTTTGGAGAGACTAACAAAACAAGAAAATAGACGAATACATAAAATAAAAAAGGATAGGAGACACTGTATGGTCGTGTCAGACCGTTGTAGAAGACACTGGATGGTGGTGTCATAACGGTGTAGAGGACACTGTATGGTGGTGTCATAACGTTGTAGAGGACACTGTATAGGGGTGTCATAACGTTGTAAAGGACACTGCATGGTGGTGTCATAACGGTGTAGAGGACACTGGATGGCGGTGTCAAACTGATGTAGAAGACAGTTTATGGGGTCATGTCGGACCGTTGTAGCAGACAATGTTGTGACAGTTGTTGTGACAGTTTACAGAGTCTTGTCGGACCCTTGTAGAAACTAACCGGAAATCAATGTCGGGACAGTTTACAGAGTCTTGTCGGACCCATGAAGGAGCTAACCGGAATCAATGTCGGGACAGTTTACTAGTCTTGTCGGACCCATGAAGGAGCTAACCGGAATCAATGTCGGGACAGTTTACAGAGTCTTGTCGGACCCCTAAAAGTCGCACCCTCAAAAGGCGTGCCCAATCTTTCAAAAGGCGTGCCTAATCCATAAAAAGGCGTGCCATCAAAAGGCGAGCCCAAGTCATAAAAAGATGTGCCGGACACGATGGCGAGGCGCGTCACCACATTGGCTTGCGCGCCCGTTTTGTCGTCTGGCGTCAAGTGGCGCTGATGCGCGTGTCTGCCTCTTCGTCATGGTCTTTATAAACCGAAAGCGGAGGCTGAGGCTGAGGCAGAAAACCTGCTAAAAAACTCTGAAAAAACTTTTCGTTGTCTGAGAGAGAAACTCTGTAATCACTCTGTAACAACTGTTGCCCAGAAAATGGCTTCTTCTTCCCGTGGTCTGCTCACTCTCTTTCCGGACCTCAACGAGTCAACAAGAAGAGACAACTGGTGTGGCGGCCCGTGAACCTCAACCAAACACCTCTGGTTTGCTCCGTTGAACTTTCCGATGCGGTCGGTGGAGCAAAAAATGGCAGTACAAACAGAATTGAAGCCAATCAGTATACATTGAAGTCATGTGTGGAAACCATGACTGCGGTCACAAACTTGTCGCACCGGCTGCAGAGTAGGACAAATTGAGGTGCAACAGTTAAACGCCCAACTGGCTCTGCTCCAACGCATGTATAAGGATGCGCGAGCAGAGATAAGTGTGCTAAAGGCAGAAAACAAGGAGCTGAAACGGAAGGCCACCGTGATGTTTCGATTTGGAGGTCCGCCATATGCTGCAGTAGAGGAGCAGGGTGGAGTGATCGTGCCCAGTGGAGTGGGAAACACGGAGGCAACACCGTCAAGGGCCGCCCAGGACGGAGGTAAGAAGAAAAGACCGCGGCAGAGTAGAGAAGAAAAATCCCGCTGTGGATGTGGTTGTTTGGTTTGTTGTGTTTTGTGTGGTCGTTGTTTTTTGTTTTTTTTTTTTGTGTAAAATTGTGATCGAAGTTGATCCCTGAGATGAATAAATATGGGTGTTGTGCAAATTTGTAAATTGTGTTGGTTTTTTTTTTTTTTTTTTTTTGAACATGGTGATGATGAATATAGAAGGATGAATAAAAGAATAAAGGTGGGAGTAGGGACAGGCGAATCAAGAGCACCAATGAAAAAAATAAGTTTGGGCGGTGGATGGTTTTTTTTTTTTTTTTTTTTTTTTGTTGTATCCGTGAAAGAGCGCTTGTTGTTTTTTGTTTTTTTTTTTTTTGTTGTGTATCCAGAAGTTACAGATGTACATATGAATTATCTAATGGCTTTTATAATAAAAAATAAAGTTTGGTTTTAAAGTAAGGGAAATAGTATAGTGGGGCTAGTGGAAAAAAAAAAGGGACGAGAGAGAGAGAGTTTTTGTGATAAAATAAAAAAGAAAGTTGAGTGGTGTGGATCTATGCAGACCTACTTACTGTGGGCGGTGGATTGGGTAGCTATAATAAGAAAGTTGAGTGGGGTTGGTGGGTGATAAAAAAAGAAAAGCTGGGTCTGGTTGTGAGTTCTGTGTGCACTCCTACCACATCGTGCCTGTTTTTTTTTTTTGTGTAAAATTGTGATCGAAGTTGATCCCTGAGATGAATAAAATATGGGTTGTTGTGCAAATTTGTAAATTGTGTTGTTTTTTTTTTTTTTTTGTTTTTATTTGGTGTAAAATTGTGATCGGGGTTGATCCCCGGCATGAAGAAATGACAAGTGTGTGGAATGAAAACCGAGTTGGGGTGAATGGATTTTTTTTTTTTTTTTTTGGGTGTGAAAAGTAAGGGAATCGAATAAAAAAAAATAATAATAAAAAAAATATGGTGACGGTGATGAAAGGATAAGTATGGTGATGATGAATATATAATGAGGAATAAAAATAATAAAGGAGGGAGTGGGGAACAGTCGAGAGTACCAATTAAGCTTTATAATAAAAAAAAAAATAAAGTTTGGGCGGTGGATGGTTTTTTTTTTTTTTTTTTGTATCCGTGAAAGAGCGCTTGTTGTTTTTTGTTTTTTTTGTTTTTGTTGTGTATCTAGAAGTTGCAGATGTACATATGAATTATCTAATGGCTTTTATAATAAAAAATAAAGTTTGGTTTTAAAGTAAGGGAAATAGTAAAGTGGGGCTAGTGGAAAAAAAAAAGGGACCAGAGAGAGTTTTTGTGATAAAATAAAAAAAGAAAGTTGAGTGGTGTGGATCTATGCAAACCTACTTACTGTGGGCGGTGGATTGGGTAGCTATAATAAAAGAAAGTTGAGTGGGGTTGGTGGGTGATAAAAAAAAGAAAAGCTGGGTCTGGTTGTGAGTTCTGTGTGCACTCCTACCACAAAAACCGTGCATATGGAGCTCTTGAGCTTTTCTCCCTGTAAAGTCTCCCTCAATGCAAAGAGTGCATCCTTGAGTAGATCTTCCCGTGTAGAGCTTATGAAGCTTTCAAACCTGCGTTCCAAGTATGTCTTAGCTGCTTGTGAGTGGGACCCAATGGCAAAAGCTTGGTATTCGAAATAGTTTCCACTTGGGCAATTGTAGTAGAGGTGAGCCCCAGATTCATCCAAGCCAGCGACCAGCAAACCAACCCCATACGGCCGTTTCCATGAGCGCTGGGTACAAACCTGGGCTTTGTCAGCGAGCTGAACGACGAGGCGGCCAACGGGGAGAGGAGACTCGTAAGTGTAGCTGTAATTGATGCACTCGGATCGCATATACCGGGACAGAACACGGCTGTCGGCGTCGTTTGAGTGGCAAGTAGTGGGTTCGGCCAAGTAGAGATCGTATGGGAGGCCGTGTTTGGGGGTCTTGGTTTGAAGGATGAGGCTCGGAGAGAAAGCTCGGGAGAGGTGCATTTTTGTGAACATGGGTTCGGTGGTTATGGTGCGCCAGAGCTAGCAGACGCAGCGGACTAGGTTGAGGTCCGGCGGGCAGCTAAGGTGAGGTTGCCGCCCGCCGGGGAAGCGAAAATATTTGGTTCTAAACCTGCTCTGATACCATGTTAAAATTGATGTATAAAGAAATAGAGAATTGTATTATTGATTGATCTATGTTGTGTTTACAATGAGTCCTATATATAGAAGATTAAATGAGGTAGGTATGTAGTAGGTGGAGTAGGTGAAGTGGGTGGAGTAGGTGTAGTGGTAGGTTTTGGTACATTTTAACAAAATTCTATAAGTAATTTATTTTGATTTGTTTGATTTCTTTCAAGTTATTTATTTTACACAGAAGGTTGTTCCAACAATCTTAAGACAGATTCGAATTATTCTGTTTACAGAATTTTCTATTTGTTTCCTTTCTTCTTTTCTTCTTACAAAAATTATTTTCTGTAATTTTACAAAATAATATTTTGGTTGGAAAAACAAACAGTAGTAATATATTGTTTGAAAAATAGTAGTAATATACTGTTTATTTTCTTTGACAACTAGTAGTAATATAATGGTAATTATTAACAATTCAAAATATTTATTTGTGAAGTTGGTCAGAAATTAATTTTGATTTTCAGAAATTATTCTAAGTTTTCATTAAGTAAAATTATGTTTCAGTATTTTATTTTTTAAAGTACTACAAAAATTTAATTTTTTGTGTGGAATTAATTTGTTTAGATAAAATTTTATTTTATTTTCAAATTAATTGAGAATAAAAGTTACAATTCTTGTTTCTTTTATTTTTACAGAATTTAATTCTGTGGTTTTGGATTAATTTTCTGTGTAGTATAAAATTTTAATTATAATTTTATTTTATAATTTAGAATTTATGGCTACTAAAACTGATGCTTAAACAAATACTGGTATAGTGGCTGCAATTGCACCAACCCCTCCTCCAGTTATGACTGTGCCAGTTAATCACAGTGAAAAGCTAGAGAAGTTCTTAGGAACTGATTTTAAAAAATGGCAATAGAAAATGCTGTTTTATTTTACTACTCTAAACCTGGCGCGCTTCCTCAGTGAGACTGCTCCTACTCTGAAAGAGGATGAAACCGACCGGCAAGTGGTTGCTGCGGTCAATGCCTGGAAACATGCTGATTTCCTTTGCTGTAACTACATCTTGAACGGACTTGACAACATATTATACAACGTCTACAGTCCTACCAAGACGGCAAGGAACTTTAAGAGTCTTTGGAGAAAAAATACAAGACAGAAGATGTTGGCTCGAAGAAATTCATAGTAGGGAAATTTATGGATTTTGTGATGGTTGATTCTAAGACTGTGATCAGCCAACTTCAAGATCTTCAACTCATTCTGCATGACATTCATACAGAAGGCATGTCTCTCAGTGAATCCTTCCAAGTTACTATCTTAATTGAGAAATTATCACAAGGCTGGAAGGAATTCAAGAACTACCTCAAACACAAGAGCAAAAAAATGTCTTTAGAAGAATTGATTGTGTGTTTGAGGATTGAGGAGCACAACCACAAATCAGAAAAGTGGGCTGGTAAGCATCCAATAGAGTCTAAGGCAAATGTGGTGGAACATGCTCCAAAAGCAAAGAAATGAAAGTTTTCTGGATAAAGTTCCTCACGAGGCTCTAAAGAAGGAGAAACTAAAAAGTACAAGTTTAATAGCAAATGTTACATCAGTGACAAAGAGAGACATCGGGCCAAAGATTTCTGTAACAAGCGCAAAGGTAAAGGAAAATCAAACAAAAAGCCTACTTAAGCCAATATGACCGAAGTGGACAAAATTTTCAATGGTGTTGAGAACATAAATCTTTCTGCAGTTATTTGAGAGGCAAATATTACCAGAAATCCTAAAGAATGGTGGGTGGACACTGGTGCTACTCGCCACATCTGTGCCGACAAAGAGATATTCACATCTTATTCTATGGTGGACAATGGCGAATAACTCTTTATAGGCAACTCTTCGACTTCTAAAGTTGAAGGATAAGGAAAGATTATTCTGAAGATGACATCTGGAAAGAAGCTCACTCTCAACAATGTGTTGCATATACCGGACATTCACAAGAATCTAGTCTTCGGATCTCTGTTGAGTAAAAATGGGTTTAAGCTAATTTTTGAAAGTGACAAATTTGTACTTACCAAAAATGAGATGTATGTAGAAAAATGTTACATGTCTGATGGCCTTTTGAAAATGAATGTAATGATTATTGTACCCTCTGTTATTAATAATAATACATCTTTTTTTTACTTGCTTGAGTCTTCAAATTTGTGGCATGGTAGACTAGAACATGTTAATTATGGATCTTTGCGTAGATTAATTAACATGGAATGTTTACTTAAATTTGACATTGATTTAAATCACAAATATGAAATTTGCGTTGAGACAAAATTAACTAAAACTCCTTTGCATTCAATTGAAAGAAGTACGGAACCACTTGAATTAATTCATAGTGACATTTGTGATTTTAAATCAATTCAAACTAAAGGTGAAAAAAAATATTTTATCACTTTCATAGATGACTATACTAGATATAGTTATGTTTATTTAATTCGAACTAAGGATGAAGCTTTGGAAACTTTCATTCAATTTAATAATGAAGTTGAAAATCAATTAGGTAAGAAAATTAAAAAAACTAAGAAGTGATGGAGATGGTGAATATGAATCACCTTTTAGTGAGCTTTATAAAGAACATGGAATAATTCATCAAACCACCACTCCTTACTCACCTCAGCAAAATGGAATTGCTGAAAGGCAAAATAGGACTTTAAAAGAAATGATGAATGTCATGTTAATAAGTTCTGAATTACCTCAAAACTTGTGGGGGGAAGCAATACTTTCTGCTAATTATGTACTTAATAAAGTATCCCGAAAGAAAGTGAATCAAACACCTTATGAAATGTGGCATGGGAGAGTACCATCCTACAAATACTTAAAAGTGTGAGGGTGTTTGGCTAAATTGGCTATTCCTAGTCCTAAAAAGACTAAGATAGGTCCTAAAACTATTGATTGCATATTTATTGATTATGCCAAAAATAGTAGTGCATATCGGTTTTTAATTTATAAATCAAAACATTCCGAAATGCATGTAAACACTATTATTGAATCTCGGAATGCATCATTCTTTGAACATATATTTCCAAATAAGACTAGACAAGGGACTAGTACTAATAAAAGATCTTATAATGCTATTACTAGTCATGATCAAGGACAAGATCGAGAACAATAGCAAGAGATAGATCAAAATGAAGACGAGGAACCTAGACGTAGTAAACGTGCTAGAACCTCAAAATCTTTTGGTTTAGATTTTCTAACATTTTTGTTCGAAGATGAGCCTCTAACTTTTAAAAAAGCTATGTTCAGTCCTAAGGCACCTTTATGGAAAAAAGCTATCAATAGTGAAGTTAAATCCATCTTGCAAAATCACACTTGGAAATTGATGGATTTGCCACCAGGTTATAAACCTCTTGGGTACAAGTGGATTTTCAAAAGAAAAATAAAAACGAATGGATCAATTGACAAATACAAGGCAAGATTTGTGGTCAAAGGATTTGGACAAAAAGAAAGTCTTGACTACTTTGCCACATACTCACCCATTACTAGAATAATATCCATTAAAATGCTAATTGCCATTGCATCTTTGTACAATCTAGAAATTTATCAAATGAATGTGAAAACCGCTTTCTTAAATGATGAATTAGATGAAGAAATTTACATGGAACAACTAGAAAGATTTTCTGTTCTAGGAAAAGAAAAGAAAGTGTGTAAATTGGTTAAATCATTATATCGTTTAAAACAAGCGCCAAAGCAATGGCATGAGAAATTTGACAAAACAATGATGTCAAATAGATTCAAAATTAATGAATGTGACAAATGTGTTTATATTAAAAACATAAACAACGGTTATGTTATAGTATGTCTTTATGTGGATGATATACTCATCAAAGGTAGTAATAATGACATGATTAAAACTATTAAGAAAATGTTGAATAAACATTTTGACATGAAGAACATGGAGCTTCTTGATGTAATTCTTGGTATAAAAATTACCAAAATATCAGAAGGTTATGCTTCGTCACAATCACATTATATCGAGAAAATACTTGACAACTTTAGCAAAGATGATGATCATCTTGCTAGAACTCCTGTGGATGTTAATTTATTTCTTTCTAAGAATGTACAGGAAAGTATTTCTCAATTAGAGTATGCCCAAATTGTTAGAAGCTTAATATACTTGATGAACTGCACTCGCTCGAATATAGCTTATGCAGTAAGTAAATTAAGTAGATATACGAGTAATCTGAGAGTAAAACACTAGAAAACTATTATAAGGGTTCTAAAATATCTCCGATTTACTTGTAACATTGAGCTTAATTATACTAGATATCCAACAGTACTCGAAGGATACTGTGATGCAAATTGAATATCGGATACTAGACACTCAAAATCCACCAGTGGGTATGTCTTTACCCTTAGTGAGGCGGTTGTATCTTGGAAATCTTCTAAACAGATTTGCATTGCTAGGTTTACCATAGAATCAGAATTTATAACTTTAGATAAAGCTGGGGAAGATACAGAATAGCTTCGCCACTTCCTTGAAGATATTTCAATGTGGCCAAAACCAATGCCTGCTATATGCATACATTGCGATAGTCATCAACAGTAGGTAGAGCACAGAGTCATATGTATAACGGTAAGTCGCGACACATTCGTCGTCGACATAACTCCGTCAGACAACTACTCTCTAATGGAATTATTTCCGTTGAATATGTGAAGTCTAAAGACAACATAGCGGATCCACTAACCAAAGGGTTAGCAAGAGAGTTAGTTGAGAATTCATCGAGGGAAATGGGACTTAAGCCTATTAAATAAGAGTTACCACAACAGCAACCCAACCTAGTTGATTGGAGATCCCAATATCTAGATTCAAAGGGACAACCAAGTTGTGTAGGACTCGTAAGGATCACTAAGGAGTCAAACTCCTACCCATTTCTATGATGAAATAGTGATGTCTGCAGTGTTTTAGGTTAAGTAAAACTTTTAATGATTCTTATATCTAGGAATACCTAGTGGAGTATGACAGGGTACTTTTCATAAGAATTACCTATATGAGTGTGAATTGGCCAGTCCTATAAGATTTGTGAAGGGTTACAATTCTCTAGAACACAATAATGAGAACTAAACTGTGTTTGGTAATATACTGTGTGAGTTCTATTGTCTTGGTTTACACAAATGGCTAAACAGTTCAAGACATCATGTCCACTGGTTAGCTAGTAAATCCGATAGTGTCTCACAAGAGAAGGTTCAAAGCTAAAAACTAGCTATCCTTTGTAGAATATTTCTAATTTCTGTACTCTCTGTAATTAGGTCATGTTGCATTTTCTCTCCGTCAAATTCCATTCATATGGGAGATTGTTGGAATTTTTGGTTTTTATAGGCTTATTTTGGGCCAACTTTGAGCCCAAATTTGAGTAGGGCCCACACGTCTTTTGGGGTGGGTCCAAAGAGGTGACGTGTTCCTTATCGCATGATAAGTCACACGGTGAAGACGGTTTGTCAAAACCATTTATGACTGAATGGGAAGTTGATGTCATTTTCGGGTTCGTGGAATGAACAATTAAGAAGTAAAATGTAGGTTTCCTTGAATTGGTTATCACACATTGAAAACTTAAGAAAACTTATATGTGTATATAAGTTCTAGGTGGCAACACTTGGATTGGGCCCCAAGGGGCACCCCAAGTTTGTAGAAAGGAGGAGTTATAGACAAAGTAACCTTGGCCAAACCACCACACGCGCGCTGCAGCTGCAGCCGCCGTCCGGCCGGCCGAGCCGTGCTGGGTGCGGGTGTGGGTCAAGTCAGTTTCAACATTAATTTTTTGGACATAATTTATTTGAATTTTTTCCAGAGATTCTTGTGGGAAAAATTATTTTTTTTGAACGAAATTAATTCAAATTTTTGCACCAAATTTGAATTTAATTTTCTATCCAATTTTGTGCCTCTTCCAATCCTTTCCAGCAAATTCAAAATAGTTTTTTCAAACTGTTTTGACAATTTATACCCAGACAGATTCAGTTTTGTTTCAAACTGTCACAGTTTGAATTCTGTATATGTTCAAAACTATTGGCACCTGCTTTGTTTGAAAACAGATCTGTTCATTTCAAATTGAACCTGTTCGGACAGCCACATTTATGCCTATAAATAGAAGTCTCATTCCAACAGTTTTTTACAATCACAAATATCCAGAAAAATCTGTTCCCTTCCCTTTTGTTCTCTTTTGCATTATTCTTCATATTAGTATTTTGGAGAAAAATTCTAAGAGTATAGAACACAGGTTTGGTTCGCCGTACAGATTATTTGGAGTACTACTACAATCTGTGTAGATTATTTTATCCTGGGAGATAGACGCCATTTAATCCGTAAGCACCGAAGCGGGGTGAATCTGTCTTAAAGACAGAGTGTCACACACTCGACTTGATCTTTTAAATATTTATTCGGTTTGGTAAATAAATTTTGTAAATAATTTATTTTTATTTATTTGATTTGTTTCAAGTTATTTATTTTACACAAAAAATTGTTCAACCACATCAAACCAAAACTTAATGCAATCCTTCAAAATCAATGAAGCCCATCAAAATCTTGGTCCCAAAGATCAAAAAAAGCAGAAGTTGTTTGAACTTATAAATACTCATTAAGCCAAAACAAAAAGCATACCGATCAAAACAAGCTCAACCCATGAAAATGTAGGTCTGAGAACGCCCAATTTGCTCAAACTATTTGTAACCCACTGAACCAAAAACATAAAAAAGTTCATTAAAAATAGCAATCAGCAAAAGAAACCCGCATCTTCCCCAGGCAGTAAAAGCAGATTTGAGAGAAGCAAACAAACACAACCATGAAAATGTAGGTCCAATATCGCCCAATTTGCTCAAATAATTAGCACCCATTGAACCAAAAGCATGGAAAGGGCTCACCAAAAACAGCAATCAGCAAAGAAGAACTCACATCTTCCTTGGTGCAAAAATCAGATTTGAGAGAAGCAAACAAACATAACCATGTAAATGTAGGTCCAACAATGCCCAATTCGCTCAAATGATCAGCACCCATTGAACCAAAAACAGCAATCAGCAAAAGAAACTCACATCTTTACAGGTGGGAAAAGCAGATTTGAGAGGAGCAAACAAACACAACCATGAAAATGTAGGCCCAATAAGGCCCAGTTCGCTCAAATTATCAGAACCCACTGAACCAAAAACACATAAATGCTCACCAAAAAACAGCAATCAGAAAAGAAACTCACATCTTCCCAGCGGGGGTGGGGGGGACACAACCCTGAAAATGTAGGTCCAATAACACCTAATTCGCTCTAATGATCAGAACCCATTGAACCAAAAACAGCAATCAGCAAAAGAAATTCACATCTTCCCAGGTGAGGTAAGAAGATTTGAGAGAAGCAAACAAACACAACCATTAAAATGTAGGTCTAGAACGCCCAATTTGCTCAAATGATCAGAACCCCATTGAACCAAAAACAGCAATCAGCAAAAGAAAACAGCAATATCTTTACAGGTGGGAAAAGCATGACTGAGGGAAGCAAACAAAAGCATACAGACCAAAACAAGCACAACCCAGTCCAATAACACTCAATTTGCTCAAATTAACAGAACCCATTCAACCAAAAACATAAATAAAAATAAATAATAAAGAAAAACATCAATCAGGAAAAAGAAACTCACATCTTCCCAAGTAGGAAAAGCAGATTTGAGAGAAGCAAAAGCCCTGTGAGAGTTAACATCTGTGGTGTTCTGCGATAGAACGGTACTCACTAAACCATCCAGAACACTTTCATTGAAACCAGAGGAGGACTGATCGTGTTCACCGTCGAATGGCTCAGGCTTCGCCGGAATGAGAGCCGAGCCGTTGAGTCTTTGCGAGCGATACTTGGCGAATTCTTTGGGGAAGCCGTGGAGAGCCAACAGATCGTCTCGAACGGCTCGACAATCCTCGGGAGTTGGATGAGGGTGATTTGGGAATGGCTCGCCGGTGGATTTGATCGGCGGTGAGGGTTGGGCTTGAACCTCAGTTTGCTTCCTTTTACGGCTTCTTCTCTGCATTTTTGTGCTGGGTTCTAATTGCCCGCTTTCTTGCAAATTGGGAATTCTTTTTTAGCTTTTTTTTTTTTTTACTATTGGGCTATAAAAATTAATAATTTATGATATTATTATTATTATTATTATTTTATTTTTTTGATCGAATAATTTATGATATTTTTATGATGGGAACAAAATTGGGCAGAGAAATATCAAATAAATATAGATATGATAAATAAGACTTACATGAGTTTCGGAAAATAAATTATTATTAGTCTATGGATAAGTTTATATTCATAAAATAGGATATAGATCTCTTATAAAGGGTAGATTTCACACATATTTTTTTAGAATTACAATTATTCAATTGATTGAATTTTTTTTTAAAATCACATTCTTTGAAATACTTTAACGTATCATTTAAGCCTCTTTTGGTATATTAGGTGGAAACAAAATAATTGCACTTTTATTTGAATCAAAAATTAAAAAAAAAATTATTGTGTTTTCTACTAATTAAAGTTTGAGTGGACGTAATGACAACAAAGTTTGAGTGGCCATAAGGGCAAGAAAGGATAGGGTTGGGGCGATTGTCGATGGGTAATGTGGCTGATCAGTGTGAGAAGGAAGATAAATGTCACTTTACAAAAATAATGTGCCTAACCTTTGTAGTTATAGTTTTAAAAATATTATAATCACATTATTATTATTATTATAAATTCTATAAGCATATCATTTTTTTTTCTTTTTTTTCTTTTTTTTTTTCAATTTTTTTGTAATTATTTATCCCAAATGTCAATTTTATGTGATTCTCTCAAAAAAAAAATTATTCATCATGATCTTCTTCCACTTTGGGCAAATATTACAAGCACAAAACTTGTCATTCAATAGGGACTAAAAACTAATTATTGAACAAGCATAAAGCGGAAAACATTTCTTCATGAAATATATGTTTTTGAGTTTAAGGAATGGCTTGAAAGGTATTAAATTAGTATATTTTTAATTTTTTTATGAGAAAAATATAAAATGTAAATTGAGATTAAAATAATGTGATAAAAAAATAATATGATTCAAATAAAATAATATATGTTATTTTAATACATACCAAACAAATTTTAATTTTTACAAGCTACGTGATTGCAAAAGCAAAAAAAGATTAGAAACTCTAATGTATGAATTCTAGAGAGCCCTAATTTGTGATGGGCGCATTTGATATAATATTTTGATTATAATTTTTTTTTTTTAAAAAAAATTGTTGAGAGTTTTGGCCCTTTTTGTTTTGTTTTCTTTTTATTCTCTCTCATTGTCACATAAGCATAATTCAATTTAAAATTTTACTTTTAAAACTCTCTATCACTATTTATTTTATTTTATTTTTTTAAAATTTTTACATCACTAAAACTGTATTTAAAACCCAGAGCTCTCTATCATTTCAGGATTGCAAAATAACTTTCTTTCTTTAAGCATGGTCAAGTCTTTGCCGTTCGAGGATGATACCGGTCTAAATCAAAGCCCCCAAACCAAAGCTCGAACTTTTTGACCAACCTAGAAAAGACTCATTGTCATTGGACAAATGTATAATAGTAATAGTATAAACAATCTAGAATCATCTTTTCTCTTCGCAAAGCCGAGTAATCCATCAAACATCACAAAGCAAACAAAATCCCTAGTCTATAAGATGTCCAAGTCACTCTTCGAAAAAACGTCTCTTATAAAAATCAGTAGTGTGTTTACACAAATATTATTATCGTCTTAAAACATGCTTAGCTGACAATAATTAACATTAACCCTAAGCCCTAAGGACCACCAAAATTAAAGAAAAAAAAGCTAACAACTAAAAATAAAGCATGTCTAATTACAATTTACACTCCCATATATACACAAAATGACAAAACAATACCCAAAAAAATTTTAAAAAATCAAAACTCAGTAGAATTTGCACCACACATACTACTCCCAACTCGGTACCGAGTTCGACTCGATCCTCCCTCCAACAGCGCCTCCCAATCCACCTCCTCTGCCGCTCCCTCCTCCTCATCCCGCCCTCTCAACATCAACAGCATCTTCTTGGCCTTCTCCCTCGCCCGGTCGCTCCCTCTCTTCTCCACCTCCCGCAACACCTCCTCCATCCTCGCTGCCTTCGCTAGCCCCTTAAACCTAAAGCTACCATGACTCAGTGAGTACAACGCGGCCACACAGTTCTCCCGAGTCGACTCAGATTCCGACTCACCCCTCAACATCCCCACAAGGATCTCCACCGCGTTGGCGTCCAGCATCGCCGACCTCCCCTCGGCGCACGCCGCTAAATTGCACAGCACGAGCATTACACGCCCCGCCATGTCACCAATCCTCGTCACCACCATCGTGAGCAGAGTCGACACGGCGCCGAGTTTCACGAGCTTGACTCGGTTGCTCTGAACCAGCGAGAGGTGGTACAGAGCCAGCGCCGAGTCGTGGCGTCTCCGCTCGCTCTCTGACCTCAGCGAGTGCAGAAGCGGCTGCAGCGCGCCGAGCACGCCGATGGCTGTCCTGTTGTCGTCTTCCACAGCCAAGCTGAAGAGCGCGCCGGCGGCGTGTTCCTGCGACTCGGCGAAACCGCCTTTCAACACGTCGATCAACGGGAGGACGATTCCTGAACGTACAATCTTCACCTTGTTGGCTTTCTCGAGAGAGAGGTTGACGAGAGCGGCGGTGGCGTTGGTCTGCACGGCGTCGTATCTCGAGATCAGCAATGGTCGGAGGGCGGAGAGCAATCGAGGCGTACACAGCGAAACCCTAGCTTCTTCCTTCATCCTCGTGAGCTTTCGCAGAGCTATCAGACCTTGTTCTTGCTCAAACACGTCCAGACTCTTGAGCTTCACAACGAACTCTTCGTCCTCAGAGATCGAATTAGGGTTTAGCGTTTCAGCAGCAGCGACCTCTGATGAATTCGAAGTAGACGACGATGGCGAGAAACACATCGGCCGAGTCGTGAATGGAAGCAGAGGAGTCGATTGAACGTTGGCGATCACCGATTCCTCAGAACTCGACGAGTAGAAATGGTTCGCTCGGTGATTCAACTCAGTCGCCGCGTGCGAGAACAAAACAGGTGGATTCTCGGCGACGCCCTTCAACAACTCCCTCTCGGAAACCCTAATTTTCGAATCATCGTCGTCCTCTCTCGCAGAAACCATTAACGCACGAACCGTGGTCTCGACGGAGCTGTAATCCGGTAACCGAGGGCGTTCGGTACGGGAGGAGTCACACCAGTTGAGAATCGTCGATTTGAGATTCAAATTGGGGATGACGGTGGAGAAATCGGGGTTAGAGCCGTCGGGAAGTAGAGGAGCAAAACCTAGGTGTCTGCAGACTTGTACGCACATGCTCTCAAAGGTTTGGCCTGAAGAGACGACGACTGGATCGAACATCAAGGAACCAGAAATGGGACAGACGTACTCTGTGGGAGGTTCCTTGTGCTTGTGCTTCGACTTGGAAGACGATGGTGATGGTGATCTGTAAATAGAGATTTTCCACTTGTGAAGCTTGCCATTACCACCCATCTCTCTATATGGTACACAAGCTCTGTGGATCTAGAAGGTAAAATTGAAGGTGAAATTCATGGAGATAGGTGATAAAGCTCCGATTTTCAGGGGAAAATTATAGGAAGATTATCTGAATTTATCGATTGTTATGAAGATAGGACTCATCGATTGTTATGAAGATAGGACTGCGTTGGTATAGCAGGAGAGAGAGAGAGAGAGTGTTCAGGAAACGTTTAACCACCTGCTTTTGACCCTGATTTATAATGTAATTGCAGAATTGGCCACTACTTATTGTCAAATTTTAATTATTTGACCCTAACTAGTGTTTTAGTTGTTCACATCTGCGATTTGGGTGCGTGGGTGGGGCATCTATTAATCATAAATTGTATTTCATTCTTATAAATAGCCTTTTAGAGTATCTCAAATATTATTTTTTTTTATATTAAATTTGAGTAAAAATTTTATTTGATATTGGGGATGTTTGGGAAGCCTTGGATTGGGTTATTTTAGCCCCATTTGAGAAAATAGCCAAAAGCTCACCTGTGCATGATTTTAAAAAGCTCACCTGTGCATGATTTTCTTAAAAAAAAAAAAAGGTCAAATGATTCGGCTGCTGCAGCAACGCAGCCTACACTGCCACCAACAATGTAGGCTGCAAACAGGTGCAATTACAATATTACCCCTATACAGTAATTTTGAAAAAAATAAAATTAGGGACAAATTTGTCATTTCAATTTAAACATCATTTCAAACACATTTTTCAATACAACAACTCAAATAAAAATTCATCATATCTTCCCAAACACAAAAACTAAAATAGCCTACTAAAATAACTAAATAGCCAAAAAACTTAAAAAATAGCCACTTCCCAAACGAAGCCATTGGCTCTCTAACAAAAAATTTTAAACTTTTATCAAAACACCAGTTGGCCAGATGAATCAACTAACCAGTGTAATTTTTTCATAAATTTTTGCAAGAAGGTGGTCATTCGAGGGACAACCGGTCGAACATTAAGCCGGTCGTCTAGTGGTGAAAATAACCTACAGTTCCAATAGCTATGAACAGTGAAATGATATGAAAGGTCCTAGCTGTCCTCAATTTAGTAAAAGATTTATCATATCCTCAATTTGATACTCATCTGATGAAACGATTAAAGCAGCAAAAAGGACGTTTTTTAATCAAAATTTAAATTTAATGAAACAATAGGCGATATGTTGGAGATAGTTTTAATTGTTTACATTTGCGATTGGTAGGGGAAAATAAAATTTGAAGTGGAATCAATATATTCAGCTTGTTTGGTTTCAGGATTCATTTTTCAAAAAAAAAAAAAAAAATTGTTTTCATTGAATTTTTTTAATATTTAAATCAATTTTTTAAATTTTTAGATACACCTAATATAAATACACATAAAATTTATAATATTTGTGAAAAAAAATCTTTAAAAAATTCACTAAATACTAAAAATATAAAAAGAAAAGAGAGAGAGAGAGAGAGAATTCAACATATTTTTATATTCTTGTTTATTTATTAAAATTTTAAAATATTTTACTTTTTAAATACATCTAAGTAAAGTGTATTTAAAAAAGTAAAAAAAATTACTTAAAAATTTAAAAATATTTACTAAGAATAAAAAAATTCAAAAAAAAAACTCAATTTTTAAAAAATTAAATACAAAAAATTGAAACTAAAATACAGTGGTATATATTGTTTTGGATCAATCATAAATTATATTTAAGTCTTATACTTTGTTAATATAACCAGTTTAATTCTTTAGCTTTTTTTCTAGATATGGCAAACAGGTAGGATTGAGTTAGATGGTGAGGGTGGCAGTAGGTTACTATTAATAGTAAGATAATTTTAAAAAGTAAAAATTTATATGTATATTTGGCTCTCCAAAGTTTGACTTCTACATTTGTCATTTGCAAGTGATGGTGGGAGTGGTGATGATGATGGTGGTGGAATGGTGATAGCGTGGAGCCGGTGGTGGTAGAGCAGTGGTTGTGAAAGTGGTAGTAGAGTGACAACAATGGTAGGAGCAATCGTCGTGGTGGTAATGGAGAAGGCAATGCCTATTTAACTTGCATCCATATCTAGCATAATTAAACTCAATTTAAAAAAAAAAAATCTCACAATTATTGAGTGTGGTAAATTGAAACGAGTGTCAAATGACTATAATTAGGCAAATTTACAATTTGGATTAAGTTTGTCACTTCTAATCATTTTTGTCTAAATCCCATTGCCAATGTCAGCCTGTGAATTTTTTTTTAAAAAAATTATTCCTATTCTACTTCTTCTCCTTCTTTTTTGATTTTGTTTTTTTTTTGTTTTTTAGAAATCTAGAATATAAACAGAGTTGTAGGCAAGATGAGCACTTGATCATACCTCAAATCTCTCAAATGAAATGGGGGCAAAAATCCAAAATTTGTGGCTGACACTAAAGCAGTGGTGGTGTTATCCCAGCAGTGGTAAGTGTATATAAATAAAATGTATAAATGAAAATAAATAACAAAATAAAATAATTCATATGCAGAAACAGATGCAGGAGCGTAGGGACGAACATAAGAAGAAAGACTAAGGCCTCGTTTGGCATAACCTATATAATCCATCTTTTTATCTTTTTTCCATCGCATCACCTCTCTACTTTTCTGCACATCTTTTCGTAAAAAGACAAAAAGTACACTTTTTTAGGACACCCCAAACCAACCCTAAAATCTGATGGAAAAATCTGATGCCAAGAATTGCTGGAATGCAGGCTTTATATAGAAAGAATAATAGCTTTTCCGAACAGGTGCCAACAGATAGGAACTGTTTGGACAGATTCAAAACCTATTTGGGCATATTTGAATTGGGTTTGAATTTCAACAGCTACCTGTTCGGGTGGAGGGCTTTGTTTGGGTGGGGAAAAAAAAAATGAACAGATTTAATTTGAATTTTGAAAACGAAATTCAAAATTAAGTAAATAAAATATAAATATTTTTTATCCAAAAAGATAAATATTAGGCCAGACAAGCTCAACCTAACCTCACACCACGCATTTGTGCCCAAGCCTAGCTTGGCCCGCCCGCCCGACCGACAGGACGGCGATGGCAGCGCGCGTGTAGTTTTTGTTTTAGGTCCAATTAACTCACTTTACCCATAAGCTCATCATTCGACAAACTTAGGTACCTCTTGGGGCCCATCCCAAAATTAACCAAACGCTTAGGTCTCATCTTAATTAATGCTCAAAATTAATAAAAAATAAAAAAAATTTCAAAGTCATTTTTCAACGGGTGGCACTGTCTCTCTAAATTTAAATATGTCCTCACATGAGAATGTTGGAAATGGTTAATTTTTCCTCAAGTTTGGTCTATTTTTTAGGTAGGCCCCGAGTGTCGATTTACTCGGGTCAAAGTGGTAACGCGTTCTATGCCGCGTTGTGATTCACGTGGTATATTTGGTTGCTCAAAACCATTACCGAGTGAATGGGAAATTGAAGCCAAAGTGTGCTCCATGGAAATGGAGTTTTGGTGGAAATTCCTTAAGGTTGTAAATTGGCTTGTCCCACATTGATTTGGTGGGAAGTTTTTCGAGTTTGATTTTTGTAATCAAACAAATTCTCTCCTTTTCTTTATTTCTTTAAATTCTATTTGTTGTTGTGTACACAATAGAATTAAATCTTTTAAATACAGTGAAGATTGTCCTACAGAGAACACCAAACACTTGTTGGAAACTTGTCTTCTCTTTTATATTTCTTTTTTATTTATTTTAATTATTTTGTAAACTATAATAGTTATTATACTTTACATTTCGTTAATTTAATTATTATAATTTTAATTGCAACATTATGCTCTTTGATTTTGTGTTTTACATTAAATTAATCTAATTAATAAATGTCATTAAAATATTCGATGAAAAAATATCACATGCTTTTTTCTTCTTTTTATTTTATTTATTTTTACATGGATCCATGATTATAACTTCATTTATTCCTGCCCTCCTTAATTATATGACACAAGGATTGCTTTCTTTCTCATTTTCGAATTGTTTTTAATTATTTTATATATTATATATAATGCTAACTCATAACATGGAAGCTTTCATTGTACCTATAATAGAATATAGAGCCAATTTCATTACTAAAATTATTCATTCCAATTCACACATGGGTTACATCTTGAATGTCAAACTCTCTCTTCTCTCTCACACATTGATGGTTCTAAAAAGTTTTAAAAGTAACTAAAATATACAAAAATAAATAAATAAACAAAATATTTTTAAAAAATGAACAAAAAATTGTGTTTCTAGACGGAATTTCTTTCATTTTTAGTGATTTTTTTTTCATAATTTAGTTTGTTTTATTTTTTTTTGTCTTTCTAGAAGCATTTAAATTAGATGCATCTGAAAAGTAAAAAAGAAAAAGAAAAAGAAAAAAAATGCTACAATATGAAAAAAAAATTCAATAAAAATGAATAAAAACTTGTTTAAAATAGTTTTTAAAAAATCTCATAAAAAATATAAAGGCATAAAACTAATTTTATATTTTCTATTAACTCTATCAATTTTATCGTTATTAAAAAAAATCAATATAATTATGTAAAAATTATAGTGCCAGCTATAATTTCGTCAACCTCAAGGGAGGTTATGTAATTTACCTTTAAAAAACTGATCTCCTAAAATGAAAATTACTTTCTAATTTAATTTATAAAAAAATTAATGAGTGTAGTTGGAGTTCATGAAAATGAATTCCTGAATATTAGCATGGGTGACATCATCACAAATCTGATGCATGCATTATTTTATGAGTATGAAGAATCCCTTTAATTTGATAAACCATGACTTAAGTTTGCACGTTTTAAAATTGATTGGTTGTCTTTTTTAATTTTTTTTTATTTATTAAAGTAGAGATTCCACTTGTCTTCAACCTTCCATTCAATTATTTTACCAACTTTTGTTTAAGAATGTGGTTAATGGAAATAGATAAGTGACACTCATGCCAACAAATTTTAACGCTGTATTTGATTAGAGAATTTAAAAAAAAAATTAAAAAGAAAAATGAAAAAAAGGTATGAAATTAGGTAAAATATAAATATATTTTATTCACATTTCACCTACTTTTGAATTTTCATATAATTACACCATCTTTCATTTTTATAAGACTAAACAGACCGAAATTAATGCAAATAATATGAAGAAACAATATAAATAAAGAACAATATACATTTTAGTATTATTTTTCTGTTTTTATGACTAACAAATTATTGATAAAAAGATGACTAAAAGGAAGTTCGATGTAATTATTCTACAATTGTGAGATATATTGTATTTTTTC